AACTATAAAAATATTTTTAAAAAAATCAGGTATTATATTTAATTATCTCATTTAACTCATAGAATTGCATTTTTCCCCTTAAAAATAGGTACGTTAGGCTTTGGTTTTTGTTTGTTTTTTGCTTTACTCAAACTTTTCTGGAGCCAGTGAATGAACATATTTTATACGCAGTTGAGATTTTTATCAGTACACTTAAAGGCAGCAGGGTGCATAATTAGGTATGCCTGCCATCTGTATGGCCCTCCAGGTGCAAAAGGCATTAGCTTTATTTAATATTACCACAACATTAATTTTACTCCATTAATTTATGTCATCTGTCCTTTATTTCAAACTTAGATTGCCAAACTAAAGCACTGGACATGATGACCCAGTTCTGATTTTAGTGAAAGCCTTATACTATAAACAAAATCTTAAGCAACCTCCCTAGCTAAGAATATTCTTAAGAACAGACTGGCTTTCACATCATAAAAAAAAAAAAAAAAAAAGGAGTCCTACAAACAAAACCTTCCTCATTTTGGTATAACAGAGTTTTTTCTAAAGAGGGAACACATCACAATATCATGATTTTAGGTGGCACTGACAAGGCATTAACAAATATTAAATCACATCATGAGAACCGTATGAAAATACCTTTCAGTTCCTCTAAGTCCAGGAAAGAGTCTCCATTGATTTGCTGACACCATTCTAACATCTGCAATTCTCCCTTTCTAACAAAGAGAGAAAGCCTCAAATTTAGACCCTTGATAGACAACAGTATCTTGGTAGAATTTATGAGTTTTTGCTCATAGTTATTTTGTATTTATGGCAAATGATATTGGTTCCCAACTAAAGTCATGAGACATAATTTCTTTTAAACACATTTAAGTTAAAAAATTAGTCAACAATAAAGAAAAATATTTAGTCATTATAGTACAGTTATATGAAGCTATGGGAAGCATCATGAAGGTTGTATATAAAACAACCGAAATTTTGGAAAGTTTGGCATAAATTCATTTGCATCCAAATTCAGAAGAAACACACAATTACACAAAAATGAAAAGTGAAAGCTATTTAAAGAAAGCATTGAATTTATATAACTCTGTCTTATAGGATAAGTGCAACTACTACTACCATTTCTTAATAGCTTATTCTGTCCCTAGTATTAATACTTTACATATAGTTACCTCATTTTATTTTCTAAAACAAGGTAAATCTTAAGTTTTACTGAATGGAATAAAGTACCTTTAGGTTAATGAAGTTTAGGGGAGTGGAACCTTGAACGCTAAATATCTCAAGGTGGGCTCAGGTGAAAAAAAATCATAATTTCTAGTAATCATAATTTCTATTTTCAATAAGAAAATAAATAAGAAGAAAAAGTATGTTTTCCAAGGGTAATTGTGTTTGTTTCTGAAAATATGCACGTAAGGAGGAGGCGAGTAGGGAAAGAAAGGATCACATTCACACAACTTTCTCAAAAAATGTCCAGGTTAAGCGAACAAGTTGAAGCTTCCTCCTAGAAGCTGCCTAAGGCAGTCTTTTGATGATACCGTACTTTTGGAAACTTCAAGAAACATTTTCAGTGAGACAATTCTGAGATCATTTCCATAGATTTGTCTCCAGCTTGACAGAATACCTCTCAAGGGCCTACTATTGAACTTTCAGTATTTGACTAAGAATTCAAATCCTTAGACAAATAATTTTCTTTCTAATTCACACAGAAATAAAAAATACAGAGTAGTTGTTTTTTTGAGGAAAAAGAAGCTGCAATGTCAAGCATACAAGAATCACTTCAAGAACATTTGCTTTCCCTGGTTTTCATACTCTTTTATTTAGAAATTTTCTTGATGCCAACAATTTTTTTCCTCTTGAGGTAACGGAGGCCAATCTTGCCTTACAAATAACTTTTAAACGTTAATTCCTAGCAGACAAGGTTGAGGAACATCTTTGTAAAAATCAAATGCATTCCAGAATATCTGTCACTGACATGAAACAACCCACCAGGGCTGCTGAAAGCGAGTGATGATAGTTTTGACATTCCCACACCTAGACATAAAACAAAAAAAGGCCTATTTACTCTCGTCTCCCCGAAGACATCCTTTCAACTTCTCCATTCTCTCAGAGATCTGAAGAGGGACGCTAAATCATCACTGCATGACACTCTCAGACAATAAACTAACTGACCGACTCCAAGGCGGCTTAGTGCAGCATATTTTAGAGCAGGGCAGAGCTTCTTTTGCTTCTTCATATCTGTCAAAATCTGCTTTATTGAGATTCACAAAATGAACAACCAAAAACCCACCATTCTTCCTTTTTCTTATCTTTTGTGAATTTTAATCTTTTTATGCTTTCAATTCCATCACTGTCCTAATGTACGGATTCCACTGACTTGCTACACCTCAGTCCTACTCGAGCTGCTATGTATCAGTGAGCGCTGAAATGAAATGCTGTATTATTATTATCCTTTTGGAGTGGTGATGAAGAACACTAGGAATCTATGGTATTCTCCAGTTTGGTTTAATCGAATAAGTAATTATTTATAGAACCTATTATGGGCAATCCACTGTCTTGAGTAGTAAATGGCATTAACACAATAATATTCAAGGCTTTATTTAAACTCTGCTCGAGCACTTTCTTCCTTCACTGCAGAAAACTCTTATACTTCCACAAAAGAATAAGACAGGAAGCATAAGCCTTTGTTACTTATCTCCAATGCTGATGAATCTATATTTTTTCCTCTCAAACTTTACCTTCTGTCCTTCCTCCCCTCCCTCTTTCATGTGCTTTGACTTTGTTAATTTATAGCAATTCATAGAATCTCTCCTATTAGCCAGGCACAATGCCAGTAGCTCAGGATATAAAAACATTTAAGATACTGTGTTAGTTTTCCAGGGCTTCTGTAACAAAGTACCACAGACTACATGGCTTAAAATAAAAATTTATTCTCTCACAGTTCTGGAGGCCAGAAGTCTGAAATCAAGGTGTCAGCAAAGCCAACCTCCCTAGGAAGGGTCTAGGGAGGCTTCCTTGCCTCTCTAGCTTCTGAGGCACCAGGGATTCCTTAGCTTGTTTCTTTGCCTCTGTCTTCATGTGGTCTTCTTCCCCTGTGTCTGTGTCTTCACATGGACTTATAAGGAAACCAGTCGTAGCACAGAGCACACCCTAATCCAGTATGACCTTAACTAATTACATCTGCAAAGACTATTTCCAAAGGTCACATTCTGAGGTTCCAGGTGGACATGAATTCTAGGGGGACATCATTTAAGCTAGTGCAGACACCCACTGGGCTATACTTATTGAGAGTATGTCCGCATATTACTTGAACTTCAATTCAGCTGGTTGACTTTCTCCCATATAGTCTGGTATAGAGTGTCCTCCATAAAAATCCTTGCTTGTTCAAACTCACAAAATAGGTCAATTCACTTCTAGCAGCCTACTATGAAATAATCCTGGCATACCTTCATGATGGAGATCCATTAAATGATGGCTAAGAAGCTAAATGTATCTCACTGGGATAGTAAAATAAATTTTGTTACATCAAGTATCTCAATTTACAGTGGTTTAGGAGAATATCTCCCAAATTGTGGCAATATGTAGTTATGTCTATTTATTTTGGATAACTAAGGATCATAGAATTCTTATATTTTAGAGCTAACTAGGAACTTACAGATAAAATAGCCTATCACTTTACAGATGAGAGTATTAAAGGGATGTGCTAATTTGGTACAAAACTAGTAGAACAAAGTTTCCTCAATTCCTTGCTTAGTGTTCAAATCAGTCTTTTCATGTTTAATATAAATAATTTTCATTTTAATTTTTCCACCTGAATACACTTTAGCTCTTGACTACCTCAAAGGACAACTTGTAATATTACTGCATCAATAGCATCCCAGAAAAACATAGAAAGGCAGGATACGTCTCTTCCTACAATGTAATCTTCTTCAGATCCATGAGAAGTCTACGAATCTTTAGTGTTAGAAAAAATTGTGTAGGTAAAAAGTATTGAGCTTTTCATAATGATGTGGTCCAAAATTTCTCTAATTATAACTATGGACACCGTATGTGCAGTTAGACATGACAAAAATCAATTTTAAGTTGTAAATCTCGAACAATATAATAGAACTTTCTCGCAGCTAAAAAGAACAAAAAAAATACGCCTGCTTCTTTATTTGTGCACCACTGAGACTTCTTATTTATTCACTTTAATTCTGCATTTACACAAAAATGCTGTAATAAAATATCTGTACACTACTTCTGTTACAAATATAGATAATATTTAAAGTGACTTTATATATTCTAATGTAGGAGTTTCACGCTCTAAAATGGGAATGAACACATGATAATTCCTCACCAGTTGTCTCAATAAACAGCTCCATCTGTTTCCCTTAGTCTTAAACTATTGTATTATAAGATGTTAATATAAGGCAATGAAGTGAAGTTATATTAATCCCCTTAATTTTTCTATCAATTTACTAGTGGCATACAACCAAAATAATTACTAACACATTGCTTTTTTCTGTCAGTAAGATTAATACTAATTGAAAACCAATTGCACAGCACACTAACACAGTTTTAGTGTTGTATCAGTTGGACTAAAAGATTCTAGGATCCTTCTATGTTCCTCCAAGGTTAGCACAGTTGCTTTCTAGAAATACCACAATCAACATGGGGTAGCATCACCATTTCTCTTATAGCAACATGAAAATATTTTATCACAAGTCAAAAAATGAAAGAGAACAATGAGATGTACACTAAGTATGATTTCTTCACAAACTTTGGTGATGTTGCTTCTTATAGTTCCTATTTACTCAATCGTAGAAACCAATTTTAGCAGGAAAAATATATGAGCACATTAGAGATGGGGAGATGCAATTTTTTACTATATTGTATTCAAAATTTTAAAATACTGAGAATATTTTTAAGATTAGAAAAAAATTCTTTTTTCTTTTTTAGTTTGGGGTGGAGAGAGGAGTTACATTGCCAAATTTAGGCATTTTTATAAAACTGAGATTTTCTTCTTTATCTTATATTTTCATTTTTCACCCTAATTTACTGAAGACATTTCTCTTTGATACATTTTATAATTACTTTTCTTTCTACTAACCAGCTTAGCACATAATAATTTTTGCCCATGTGACTACAAAATGTTAGATATCTTCACAAAGAAAAACCAGATTTACCTATGCAAATATCCCTTCTCTTTGAGTTTGAGTTCACAAAATGCAAGAGGAAAGGAAAAATGATGTTAGGTTGTCAGTAAGAAAATCATTTTCACATGAGAAAAACAAACTTAAATGTTATTTTCACCCTATGGTTTTGAAGACTACCAATGAACACAGTGCAAGAAAGGTTATCCACAAGTCCAGTTCTGTTCACTTTACAGCAGTCAGTGAGAGAAGGGTTGAGCTGGCTCAATTCTGGCAGCTGATTCAGGAGAGAACCATCAGAGTGACAGTGCCTTTTGTCCGCTTAAGGATGGCAACAGCTTCTTCGTGGGTTACCCCTTCTAGACTCTGCCCATTGACAGCAATGATCTGATCGCCCCTTTTTAGACGCCCATCTTCTGAGGCTGCTCCCTGCAATGATAAAGTAGACTTGTTTACTACTCAAAAGATGCTGCCTCAAAGCTGCATCACAGAAAAAGATCTAAACACGAATGTAAATTGCTCTGCATGCACACACACATTGCTCCTGGTGCTCCACGGGTGCTCTACAGCCATTAAGCAATGATGAACATACACAAAGGAGGCCTTTCTCCTAAATGGTTTTAGCACTGAGATTCCAATTGGAGAGAGAATTCGGCAGTCAATAGATTAGTTGGATGGCTTTTTGGCTGTTCAGCACAGCAGTTGGTGGGAACTCAAATTAATAAAGAGTATTTGGGAATTTGCCTAGTAGGACTGATTTAATAGAATCCAGGATTTTCCATCCTACTGTAAAGATGCCCTACAGAAAGAAGACAGAGGATTAGGTAGGAACAAAAGCAGTTTTACAGGACAAGGACAGGAGGACTATAAAACTCAAAGGTTTGTAGAAGCATAAAGCCCACCTCAGGTTGAGGAGGGCAAGATAAAGCACAAGTCCTGAATCTAAAACCCACTCTAATTCTAACATTTTCTGTGGTTTTGAAAAGGCTGCTCAAACTCTCTTGATTCTAACTTCCCAAGGGTAGATGGATTCTTCATACTTCTTATAGGCCTTAAATGATTAAGATTAAACACAGACATTGTCGTTTGAAAAAGAATCCCATCTTAAGGCATGCTTATAGAAGACAATTATGCAATTAAATATAAAATTAAAGATATGGAAAAGTTAATGAGGAATCCATAATGATGAAATTCTTAAAATATGTTCTAACTAGCATGCCTTAAATAAATTGTTCCCAGGATGAGGAAAAGGACTGTATGACTCTTCTATTCACTGGCAAATGCTGTTTATATTTTTGGACATACCAATAGCTTTAAAAAAAATCTCATAAATTAAGCCTATAACTAGTTGTAGGAATAGCATTTTAAATTGGTTAAAAAATATTTTTTTCCAAAATAATAGAATGAAATGTCCACAAATTAAAGGGTCATCTTGCTAATCTAAAGCCCCTATAGCAAACCTTTAAACAGGTTTGATGTAACTTTTGTTTCTTTATCCTGTAAAATTTTGAGTTTCTGGATTTTCCTTTATAGGAAATTTTATCCAATTTTGTAGCTCCTGAAAAAATGTCTTAGTAGCATATTAATAATTATATGGGTTTAAATTATTTTAATAGCTTTAGCAATATTTCAATATCTTTATTATTATTCTAAATATTCTTAAGATAGAACAAGTTATGATATGATTACAACTATATTCAAATGGCTTTTTTTAAAAAATCAAATCCCTTGATTGCAAATAGCTGATTTATTATAGATGACAGGGCTGCTGGATATTCTTCAAATTTTTTAGTTGTCACTTTTCTATTTTAGAAATGAAATTAAATGTGTAAAATAAATGCTTATTAATTTGCATGTGTAGTTTATGTACTTTTCTGTATCTATTTTATACTTTGCAACAATAACAAAAAACAAACAGAAATGCCAGTGTTCTACAGCATACATATATAACATGTCCAAGTTTCAAAAGTCAACATTTGTAATTTGTTTTCAAAGGAAAAGAATAGGCTTTTATAACCAAAGTTCATTAATATTTTTATGTATATTGTCAAGAGTTTCCATGTAGTTTCAATTTAAGCCCATTTTTCTTTAAACATAACTATGCCTCAAAATTGTACAAAAATATTTAATGACCTATTCCTGTAGGGAGTTTTGAAAGAAAATGATCAACTGTTAACCATTTGGCATTACCTCAGGCCATAAACTAATAAGCCAGATGCTGACCACTATTAATGAATGTTTAGAGGGGGAAGAGGGTGGTTAAAATTTGCAAGCTTACCTTTGCAAACACTGTTTTAACATAAATGGGTAAGTCTCCATGAGGGCTGCCATATCCTCCTACTATACTGAAGCCTAAGCCATCTGGTCCTCGGTCTAGTGTAATAGACTTACACTGAGGAGGTCTATAGTAAAGGGGAAAAAAAAATAAGTTATGGGTTTTTACAAAATATTACTATATATCTCTGTGAATGTTTAAAGTATGGATTATCTGACATGCACCTAGAGCTAGCATAATTCTCTACATTACTGACAGTGAGTATATTTTGGGTATTTTTGGGATGCTTAAATTGTCAGTGCATGCTGTGCTCCGTATTTTAAATTTACATAATCTAATGAAATCCTACTTAACACCCTAATTCTATTACTCATTTACAGTTCTCTTAGACTAACATATTCATGGCATGCTCTCATTGCACAGAGAAGCTCATTCTTTTTCCAGTTATTTAAAGTGAGAGGACTAAAGTTCAGAGGACTATAATGGAATAAGTTGTAGATATCAGTACTCCCAAGCTCAGAAAGAAAAATCAATTACAAGCAATGTAAAAGTTGCATCAAATTATTTAAAAATTCTAACGTGCCTCTTCTCTTGTGTCTATTTTTCAATGCTATTGTATTCAAGTGCTGTTACCTAATACTGTCAATTTTTTTCACTCTGAAGGATAATATGTTAAATGAGTAGGTAATGCTGAGAATTTTAAAAGGGTAGATTTGACTAGCACCATCAAGACTAAAATGTGCCCTCAAAATGTAGGAAAGCATGCATATCTATCTATCTATATAGATATCTATCTCTTGTTTTATCTTTGATTAGCTAAATCCATGCCATAATTATTTAACAGTTTAGAAGCACTTGATTTTTGCATTTCATACCTCATATCTCCTATTATTTTACCTTTTTGTGTTTGCTAGGAACGTGGGACAAAGAATGCAACCGTCAGGAAGGTCTGATTCATAGGTGACATATGACATACCAACTATAATATATGAGCTCACCCTAAATCATCCTGAAATATACTGCTTGATGTCAGCCCAGTGAAAGAAAGACTCGAACTGGCAGGCTCTTGCTGATGACCTGTGACCACACTCACATCTCCTCCAGCAACCACCTGCACCAGGCAGAAGTATAAAGAGAAAAAACACGTGTTCATGTGGCTAGGGAGACACCAGTAATTTTTCTTCAAAAAGAACATTTGGATTAAAATGTGCATTTTACTGTCCATTTAATCATTTCTGTTAACATAAAATACAACCAAAAAGAAACAAATTTTACAAGGTCCAGAGGCCTCTTAAATGATCCTGACAGTAAAAACATTCAAATTTAATTCTACAAAGTTCTTTGATGCTTTTAAAAACATAGTCTCATATATAATCATTTCTAAAAGATCTTTAGAATACAAGCTACTCACTCACATCAACTACAATTCTAGTAATTAATAATTTACTGCTAAGGCCCTATATTTTTCCCCCTTAGATACAAAGTATGAAACAATGAATGCATCAGGATAAAATGTTACAGAATATGTTTCATATGTACTTTCTTGGAGCTTGTAATTTGATCATATATGTTCAAGAGAAGTATTATATTAAATATTAGCAGAAGATTTAATCATTTTTACTGCTTTAACATTGAAGCTCATGTGTCCTCAAGCTACTTATATTCTGAATAGTGCTTGGGATAGAAACCTTACCTGCATTTCAATGGAGCCAGATGCATTTTTCAGTAGGTTAACTGCTTGAGTGTGGGTCATCCCCTCAGTGGATGTGCCACAGATAGTGACAATCCTATCTCCAACCTGTAAGGGAGAGAAAGAAACAGCCATCTGCTAAAGCACTCACAGAGACTGGGACTTTGAGATCTGAGAAATCGTTTCATTCTCTACCTTCCATATCACATATATACTGATATAGCCATTGAAATATAACTAAGAAGACTATCAAAATTCCAACAATTCCAAGAAGCAGCAACCTCAAAATGAAGCAGCACATAAAAGTTGAGTTCTCTAGTCTCTAGGGCAGGGGGAAGGGACAAGGAGAAAGTTACTCTTCCCTTTTCTTCATTTCTCTTGGCTAAGATATAACTTCCTATTAAAGAAATAAAATATCACTATCATTTGGAAACTAGAACTCCTCTGGATGTTATTGATATAATCATTTTTATGTGACTCTAAGTCAGAAGTTGAAAAAGTAAGGCCCACAGGCCAAATTTGGCCCATTGTCTGTTTTGGTTAATAAAGTTTGGTTGGAAGACAAGCCATGCTTATTTGGCTGCTTTCATAGGGCAGAGTTGAGTAGCTGCAACAGAGACTCCTTTGTCCCATGAAGCCTAAGATATTCACTACCTGTTTTTACAGAAAAGTTTGCTGACCCCTGTGCCATCCGTACAATCAGTTTTTTAAGTGTCAGCCATAAATTTAGATATCAAAGGAGGCTGAATCATTCTAAATTTACAGACTATTTAAACTAAGATGTGGTTATGTTCTGAGACCCTGTTTGTGGCAATGAGGGCATAGAGATTTTACACTGGAGAGACTGAGTTGTTTTCATGGAGTATTCACACGATTTTAGAGCTGGACAGCTAGCATAAGTTCCATCGTAGTATTCTACGTTTGGATAATCCTTAAACTTTGAAGCAAGTTTTGTATAGTTTTCCATTATAAGTCATGTTTACATTAAACTTCTGCAAAATGTATAATCCAATGCAAATAAATAATACTTTTCACTTTAATAAAGTTAGATCGGCATTTAAACCAATAAAATATATAAGAAAAGTTTCACTTCCTATTGGTGTTCTGAAAATACTCTGTTCTCTTTTAACTTGTTTCACAGCGTTTCAAACAGGTAAAAAGAAATACATTAAGAAGTAACTATAAATCTTCCATTTTCATTTAGCTGCAAATTTGCATTCAACAGCATCATTTTCTCCTTTCTTTTAATATTTTTTATCTTTCATTCAATGCAATCCCTGCTGTGGCTGGATTACCTCATTTAAAAGCAGGGCCGGGCGCGGTGGCTCACGCCTGTAATCCTAGCACTCTGGGAGGCCGAGGCGGGCGGATTGCTCAAGGTCAGGAGTTCGAAACCAGCCTGAGCAAGAGCAAGACCTTGTCTCTACTATAAATAAAAAATAAATTAATTGGCCAACTAATATACATAGAAAAAAATTAGCCGGGCATGGTGGCGCATGCCTGTAGTCCCAGCTACTAGGGGAGGCTGAGGCAGGAGGATCACTTGAGCCCAGGAGTTTGAGGTTGCTGTGAGCTAGGCTGACACCCTGGCATTCTAGCCTGGGCAACAAAGTGAGACTCTGTCTCAAAAAAAAAAAAAAAAAGCAGATACAGACATTAAAACTGCCCTGAAACAGGTGGTCAAATTCAAAGGTTTTATAAGAAAACTTTTGCTACACTTGCTGGGACTACTAAGGTTGTTAGTAAAACTTACTCGGAGTTTTTGGGTCTGAGCTGCAACTCCATTTGGGTGCATCATTGCAATAAATATTGGAACATCACCAAGTGGGCTGCCCACTCCTCCAGCAATGCTGATTCCCAACGAGTCGGTAAGCCCCTGCGGTGGGACAGATATAAATTTTGGTCAAAGTGATATTTTTAATTGACCTTTTGTTTATTCTTTGGCACAATGTTCTATAGCCAACTCTGATCTTCTAGGTGTGAGGGTGGAAAACTGCATTATTTTATTTGACACAGATTCTTAGTATGGCTTAGGAAAATAAGCATCTACTCAGGAATTAAAAGAAATCAAGATATGCTAAATGGAAATCATGTTGTGGGACTGATGAAAAGCAGGGAAACTTGTGAAGTGCAAAGACCACAAATTTTGGAATCAGACAGACCTGTGTTCAAAGCCAGGGAGTCACACTTACAAATGCTGGGACCTAGAACAAGTCTGCTCCTCTCAATAAATCACTATATCTTCATTTATAGAATGGAGATAACAGTGCCTCTCACAGAGAGCTGCAGTGAATATTAAATGGCATGCTGATGATATGACATGTCCGTGAGAGTGCTCAGCACACAGGGAAGGCTCAATAAATCGCAACTGCTGTTATTCCCTCTCTTGTGCGTGGCTGCCAGGGGAATCTGCTTCACAAGAACTATGAAGTGTCTGTGGAAGGGAAGGGCTTGCTTATCAGTACGAGAAGTGAAAGGCATGGTACCATTTTGTGTAGGGTCAGGTTGATGCCACTCTCAGCAATACAGAAGATGCAAACAATGATTTTTCAAATGAAGTACTATGGTCAGGAAATTCAGTAATGACTGCATTGTGTTATTTCCACTATATATGATATATATTTTTTCCAGATGAGTACTTTAAAATAGTAAGACAGTTAACAGGAAAATACATACAAAGATGTTTCTGAAGATACCAGAGTTTACATTGTTTTCTTTCCCGTAAATTACCTTTTTTATTTCGACTGTTCTTAATCCTTGTATTTCAGATGCCACTGTAAAGGCAAAAAAGACAAAATATGGTTATTACAGCACCTTTTATATTCATTAAAATGTTAGTCAATACATGGTAGTTGAATGGGACTAAATGGGATACTGTCATTTTTTTTTTTTTTGAAAGGAGGTGCTCATGCTCAAAGTTGCTAGTACATATGATTAGATCTGTCTCACACATGAGCTCTTTATTTCTCCAGCTGGAAAAATGCACATACCATCCCATTTCTTCCTTCTCAGTTTAAGCACTGATTATATAACTGTAAAATTCACTTTGCATGAGTCAAGGGAAGAATGTGCTTTGGATAGAAAGACACATGTGCATGGCTGAGAAGAATAAAACCATGCATGCATAAGAAAATTCATGGACTTAAGTGCCTAAATTTCTAGAATATTAGTCACACTGCAAACAGAGATCGCCATATGGTTAGTTTCTTCAATTTGAATAACTCTCAACGATTGCATCAAGCCAGAAAATCCTCTGCATCATGATTTTATATAATTAAAACATAGGAGGATCTTATCAATTTTCTAGAATTTTTACAATCTTCACAGAAAAAGAAGACTTCACTTAATGGTATCTTCTGATTTATTAGTGTTACATTAAACAGAGAAAGGAATGAAATCAAATACACCAATCTGCTTAGTAGGAAAAAAACTAAAGGATCCTGATTATAATGCTTGAAGTGTAAACATCTTGCAGGGTAAACATCAAATGGGAAAAGTTGCCATAAGCACAGCTTCATGTAGTTCAGATTTTTTGCCAATACACATTTTTTGTACCAATATTAGGATATGGGATGATGTGGGGAGAAGGAGAACTCAGAGGTAAACAAGAAAAAAAAAATTAATGTTGACAGCCAAAATTTAAACCAGTAAAATCATGCTTAAAATATTGAACCAATCTTACGTGCATTCTTCTTTGAGCTACTTTCCAGTGACTCAGATGTACTGGATCCAGAGAGTGGAAAAGTGAAAGATGATAGGCTACCTTCACTCACCTACAAATATACAACAAATATTTCAGGAGCAATAATATTCCCTAGATATCACTTATTTCAGAATTCATTTGTTTTAGTGCATCTAGAGATAAATACCTGTTAAGCAACTGTGGTATTTGATAATTTGAAGGACGATTTAAACATAGTTTTTATGTACTTTTTTAAAGAAAGAATTTGCCTAGTGATATGAATAAATTGAAGCTAAAAGGGTAGATGAAAGTGATTCCAACTTACCTAAAATTTTAGTGGATTTTCATAATCTCATTGGAGTTAATCCTCTCTAAATTTAAACAACTGATGTTGAATGAAGTCTAAGACTTTTTTTAAAACCTGCAGAATTAGGATCAGTCAATAGGAAACTAATGGTGGTAATTAAGGAAGTTAGTAAGGGGTCTTTAAGGATAGATTGATGAAAAATGGGTTTCTGTCAGAAGACAAGATTGAGGAGAGGGGCTTGCCAAGAAATTTTAACTTTTTAATATCATATTTTCATACATGGTGCTGAGCACCTACAGTTTACCTATATGAGATTTTTCATTTGAATATTGATTGATGTTTGTTATAAAATACTTTAAAATATGTTATCTTGATAGACTTTACATATACCAAGCAGTTAACTTTAGAGATTATGAAAAAAGAATCACACCATAAAAGAAGTCTGAAATCAAGTTCCTTAGAATGACTTACAAACTACTCACGAGCTACTCCTGGCTTATCTGCCCACTTACATTTCTTGCTCTTCCGTTTCAAACCTCAGTTACTATACCACACTGCCAGAGGGCCAGACCTTTATGTGACCCTGGAGAGACTCATAGTCAGAGCCATCTGTGAGTCCTCTTGGCATATGGATTATATCACTCCAATGTTCCACAGCGACCCACCTGGCTGCTTTGAGAAGGCCTCCTCTCGGAATGAAATGGACCGGCTTTAATTCTTCCGACTTCCAAGGTTACTGTACCTAGGGAACACTGGGGGAGTGGTTGTTTTATGGAAATGTTTATATAAAATGCTACAATCATCTTTAGGAATACATTTTAATCTTCAAGACAGAATTTTTGAAAGGCATCTTCCTTTTGGGATTTCTATAGGCAAGGATACCTCTAATTATTGATGAAAAATGACTTTTTAAAACATTAAAAACTAATAACAAGCAGCAGCAGCAACACCAGGTGTCTGTCTTATTACCTCATGATTTATATGAAGATTATTTATAGCAAGGCAAAAGAAATTGAGAATGGAAGAACTACTTCATGAAACACACTGAGGTAGGCCAAATGAGCTGAATACTGTACTATAGCACAGGTAACTGAGACCACAGAAAGTGAAACCGCAGACAGGCGAGAACTACTGTATATTGCTTTTTCATGTTAAAATAGTTGTCATGAACATCATTTTAAACAAATGAATTTTTGCCATGAATCTTTGGTATATATCCAAACTTTATACAGTTTTTGTAAACCGTGTTGCCTTCAATTTTCCTATAATTACAAAGAATACTTCATGAGCTTTATATGCATGAAGTTTTTGTTTATTAAGAATTATTTATACAAGATATTTAGATAAAGAATTACTAAGTAAAAACAACAACAAGCAGCATCAGTAGTAACCAACTTGCAAATTTTACAAATATTTAAAGTTCTCATCATATACAGTCAAACTGGAGTTTTAGATGACTGGTTTAACTGGTTTTAAAATCATTTATGTTGTTTTATGGATGTTTCTTTCACTCTCTCACTAAGATATATCCATCTTACAGAGCTAACAATTGTTTTTAATGTATTTCCAAAAGGAAGCTATTCCTCCTTAAAGAATTTTAATTATTTTATGTTTTCAAGATGGGTTAGTGAAGAAATAAGTTTTAATGTGTGCTTTATTAACAACTAAATTTATGTACACATTCACATACCAGATCCTATCCAACCCACAGAACCGACATGCAGGCTCATGCTAACATGAACACATGACATGGGTACTGATGTCCAATCTGGTGTGCCCCGAAAGGGGTTAAGGAAGGGGCCCAGTCAGGAAAGGCCAGAAAGCATGACCTACGGAGGTGCTGTGGGCACCCTTCTTCCATCTGTGATCACCCCTCATTGAGGAGTTCTGCCAAATCACTTTTCAAGAAGCACTCATGCCAGAAATGAGAATCTTCACTAAGGCCAGAGGTAATACAAATAAGCTCAGAAATAAATATGAGAGAATGACGACTGAGACTTCTGATTTTTCCTTTGTGGTCTGAATTTTTTTTTAAGAAAAATACTCAATACATAATACTCACCTTAAAGATAAAATATTTACTAATATTACAGATATTCAGTTCATAATTCTAATACTAAATAATTTTATAGCCATATAATAAACAGTTAATCATAAATTTGCTATTTAGAAATCTGTCAATGAAACATGGTATCTTAAGTTTTATTTGAGATGATACTTCAAATAAAGAGAAGACAATACTAACTTGACTATGGTAGTCCAATATTAAATTCTCTTTCTTCCATACTATTACCCAAAAGTATCTTTGGCATTTGATTCCTACCTTTAGCAAAGCAGCAACAGCTTCCTGGGTGGCATTACGGACATCTTCTCCATTCACCATTAATATCTGGTCTCCCTGCATAAGTCTTCCATCAGCATCTGCAATGCCTCCTTTGACGATGTCTGACACAAATACTCCTGTATCATTTCTGCACACAGTTTTGAATTTCAACATTATTATTTTTTACTCAATTGTAATAGAATGCTTATTTAATGGAAAGCTAACTTTTTAACCAAAAATTTTACTGCTATTTCTATGACTTTAAAAGTTTTATTGTTTTGAGCAATACTGGGGCAACATTATTAGAATTAGATTTTTTGATAAATAATAGCTTATGCATTATAGCACTCAGCTGGTTAAAATATTCTATCATAAGTATATTATTCTTCATCAATTATATACTGTGAATAGAAGTAAATACTACTATTCTCATTTTATGGGTCACACAGATAGTAAGTGGCAAAAGTAGGAGATAATCTTTGGAGGTTAAATCTATAGTTTTCTCCATATACATAATGAAGCCTTGAATGGATATTGACCTGTGGCTGTATAAATATGTTGCTATCATCATCATCATCATCATCATCATCATCAACATTACTGGAAATAAATAACAGATGTGTATCTCAAACTAAAACCATTCATTAACTCAAAGCCTAAGTATCTTTGCTGTGATATCTTTTGTTTTAAATCATTGCAGATCTAACTTTCATACACAAGATAGATTTATGAAAAATGGGAAAACTCTATTCTTATGCCAATCCTTTCTTTCACAAAACTGTAAAAATAAAACAACAAAAAAACCTTATTTTTAAGATCCAAAGATAACTGTAAATAGAAATATACAGTAAAAGCTTAATTATATCACTTGTTCTTGCCAAGGTCATGACCTCAAACAAAGCATTCCACCATCTGATCCTCTGCTTTCCCATCTTTAGAATAAGGGTGTTGGATTTGATGGTCATTGTATGCTCTTCCCAAGGCAAACAGTTTAGGATTCATTAATAGAAGTTTTCATAGTGACCTGGTGACCCAACATTTGTGGTTGCCTGGCACCCAAAATAAATTTTAAGTGTATATTATTTCACAAGAATTAGACTCCTGATACTGAAGTCCAAAAGGAGGGTCTAATTTTTCAGACATATTCCCACTGAGATTCAAATAATATGCTACATTTTTCCTGTGCCAAAAAAAAAAAAAAGCCTTGTCTCTGAAATAACAACTAGTGTTAATGTCCCTTTATTGTCATACAGAAACATCACTGCAGAACCAGGTGTGCATGATGTTGATTTGGGCATTCTGAAAAATGCCTATTTCCAAAGAAGGATATTCTGACATAAAGATCACACTTTCACAGATTTTGGACTCTGGAAAAAATAAACTGCTTTGAAACTGCAGACATCTGAGGCCCAAGAATGGCAATATTAATTTAGGGCCACTGCAGATGACAGAATCACTTTTTAATGAATGCTGAGATCATTTGTTTAACTATCTTGTACATTCTAAGGATCAGATCCAGATGAGTTTATAATAATAAAAGGAAGAAAGATTTATGGAACTTACTGAAATACATATACATTAATATAATATATATAAATTTACTAATATTATATATAAATATTTTAAAAATGTATTTACAAGTAAATATTTAAATATATTAGGTATTTAAATTTATATGCATTCTAAGCACGGCCCCTTGCTTTAAGCTTTAGGTTCCCCGTTGATGTCATGCTCTTGTTTATGCTGGTCCTTCTCCCTAGAATATCCTCCACTCCTCTTTAATAGACCAATTATCACACATCACTATTAGCCTCAGTTCAGGCACCTCTTTTCTTCGAAGTTTTCCCTAACCCCCTTATCTCAGATAGCGTCACTTGGTCCCTTTCTCTTTTGCTTACATGGCTCCCCCACAATGCATCTGTCACTCACCAAAAGATTCCTTTGTTATAAGAATATGTTTAATTCTCCTTCACTAGACAGTGGGTTCTCTGAGGTCAGGAACCATGTCTTACTTAACTTTGATCCCCAGAACCTAATGCATTTCCTGATACACAACAGAAACTCAAAAAAATACAAAATGACTATGATTTTGTGTTGAGTACCATCAAAATCACCCAACACACTAATTTTAAAAGTCCAAAACCAATGTCTTTTTATGGTTCTTTAGTGATTGGGCTAACAACAGCTACCTGTAGAACCTCAGACATTGATAAAGAGTCTACTACTGCTATTATTATTTAAAAGAATTTAAGTTCCATCACTTCCAAAAGAGCAATGGGTTTGTCCTCAGTCATACCTTTTACCGACAATACTTAATCCCAGGCCTTTTCCTGGCTTCTTCTGCAGCTCAACAGTGAGGGTGTCACACACTTCCTCCTCTTTGTATGGGGCCTCATCTCTGTAGAGTGTCAGGCGCACTCTTTGCGGCGTCTGTCTCAGGACATTTATGGCTTCATCATGTGTGGCCTTTCTCAAGTCAATTCCATTCACCTGTACAGGAAAGGGACAGTGACTGTCAGGAACCAGATGAGTTAAGTAAATTAAAGGAAGGATGGGAGGGGGAAGAGAGAGGGGAAAGAGAGAAAGAAGCAAAGAAAGAAACACGATCCTTCCAATAGCCTTTTCTCCATTAATTTTGAAGGTCAAAAACAGGCATTCTGTACCTCTAAAATCTGATCTCCAGCCCAGAGTCTTCCATCTTTACATGCTGCTCCTTCTTCATAAACTTCATGGATAATGATGGCACCCTAGGGGCCCAAACAAAATATACCCATACTTATTCCATTCTCTAGTAATGGTAAGCAGAAATGGAGTGCAAACACACATACTTTCATAGACAGAAATAAGGGGTATTCACTCACTGGATCTACATGTAAAACATATACCATAATTCAAGGAGGAGTGTAACACCACAATTTTTGCTGAAAGGCTCAAAGAAGCTTATACTCTTTTTTTCTAATGATAGGGAAGAGTAAAGAAAAAAATATAAAATATATAAATCACACATAATACATAGAGATATATTACCTTTCCTATCCACAAATGATATGATTTTTAAAGTATTCTTGACATTTAGAAAATTTTGCCTATAAAGTAACCAATTTTTGAGACTACTCTTAATTATGGGTTTAACCCAACCTGGAAATCATTAAAAAGGAAAGTAAAATACAGCAAGGACTGGTGAACTGACAGAAACATTTTGAAACCTAAAGGCCACAATCACAGTGTAACGGAATCTTACTGAGTCAGTATTGGCTTACTCAAAGTAAAAATCCTGGTACCCATTTAAATATGCGTCCTGTAAAATGAAAATAACAATGAATGATACATTTTTCTCAACCATTACATTTCACGTATAGAACTGCTAGAAATCTCCTTATAATGAGCTCTCAGGCCTGGTTGAAGGTGTCCTGTGAGGCAGAAGCACTTCTGGGTGACACTTACCAGCAGTGTGTCTGACCCCCCAACAATGCTCAGGCCCAGCCCCGTTCGCCCTTTGGAAATCTCAATGGTTGTCTCGCAGCCAGGGATGATGGGGCAGGTTGCAGGATCAGAAGCAAAGATCGCTGGTGTTGACGATCTGCTTGTACCTAAAAATAAGTTAAAAATGAAATGAAATACAAATAAAAATTGATTAGAAGGCAAACTCACCACACTGGGTGCCTTTGAGGGATGGAGCAGAGAAACAGGCCCAGGGCTGGGGAAAAAGGAGAGCTCAAATTTACCTTAATCTTTTAATTATCTTATTAATTTTTTTAACTTTTATTTTTTAACTTTTTTTCAGCATATTACGGGGGTACAAATGTTTAGGTTACGTATATTGCCTTAGCCCCACCCGAGTCAGAGCTTCAAGCACGTCCATCCCCTAGATGGTGCGTACCGCACCCATTAGGTGTGAATAAACCCATCCCCTCTTCCCTGCTCCCATCTGCCTGACACTCGATGAATGTTATTACTATATGTGTACTTAAGTGTGGTTAGTTAATACCAATTTGATGGTAAGTACATGTGGTGCTTATTTTTCCATTCTTGTGATATTTCACTTAGTAGAATGGGCTCCAGCTCTATCCCAGATAACACAAGAGGTGCTAGATGGCCATTGTTTTTTGTGGCTGAGTAGACCTCCATGGTATACATATACCACATTTTATTAATCCACTCATGTAATCATGGGCACTTGGGTTGTTCCTGCAAACTAATTAGCTTATATTTAAGAGTATCAAACAAATACTATTAAATCATCATCATTAATTTAGGGTAAAAATTACCCATTTAATTATTTTCTACACTAATCTGTATTTTTTAAATTGCTAGATATATAAAAAATAGGATATGAAGAAAGGAGAATAGAGTTGAATTGAACCTCTACTTTCACTTCAATATTCTACATTAGTGAATTAACCCCCCCAGTGAGGGGTCAAATATACTTCTTATGAAATAAATAAAACTCAGAACAGAGATATGTGACCAAGACCTAGAAGCACATTCAGGCAAGTCCACAAAACACAAAGCACATCAATCATTGTGATCATGGTGCCTGCTTTTCAGAGATTTTTATGTTATGTTTTCCTTTTCTTCTTATCCTAGAGCATCTCTTCTTATGTACTCAATTCTGAGCATGTACATATTATTTGCAGTTTTTCTGCTTGGGTCTCACTTGATGTTCTACAAATTCAGATATCAATTCCTGGTGCATACTCAGAATTGACTAGATAAGAATAGATCATGAAAAAACAAGGAGAATATAATTCACACCTTCTTTTATGATAGTCTTCATATCATATCATATGTTTATGATACAACAAAGAGTATACAGTAAATAGCATGTTTGGGGAAAGCGAGGACATTTGGTAGAGTAGCGTATGCTTTAGATAAGATGTTCCCTTTTTAGGAAATCAAAAACAGACTATTTTCTTGCTCTTGAAATGGTAAGAACAGGTGTAAGATATTTTATTTTATGTTTTCATTTAGCATTTCATGTTTTTATAGACAATGCTATTTAGAGATCAGCATAAAAATAAAAAATGAGAAAATTTCCATAAAATCTTAACACTTAAGTAAATTATCCAGTCTTTCTAAATAAAGGATTACTTTCAGAGATGTATTACTTTAAGACGTTTTTGTCCAGTATATTACAAATGTTTTAAACTAGTGTTTCCTTAAAAACTTGACAAAAGATCGGTTTAGAACCCAAAAGAATTTTTTCCCCCAGATGCAGAAAAAGCCAATGTGTTTAAGTAATTTTTTAAAACAAATTTTGATGCAGTAGAACTTGACACTTATTGTCTCATCACACACCAGTGTAATTTTTCTCAGAAAGTAACTTGAAGGAATAACGTGCCTCCCTATACCGGGCTGGCAGTACAATGATGCACTAATGTGTCATCCCACAGTCCACAGACATCCATTTCATCTATTTTGACAGGATCTAGTATCACATCAAAAGCAAAAAATTCAGTCTACCATGTATACCATACTAATGACTAGCATTTTTAAGAGTTTCTTGTAGTGGCAGGCAGTGTTGATCCTACCTGTGAAATAGGATCATTTTATAACCATTCTACAGATGAGAAAACTGGGGCTTAGAGAAGTTAAATTACCTTCCCAGTATAAACAAAGAATCTACTACAAGATGATATTTCCAATTCATTGGTTAGATACCCAGAATAACAGATATCCTCAGCAAAGTATTCTTGGAGAGCAAAGAGAATCACTCCCTCATGTTAGAAGTGAAGAAGCTGAGGCCTGCAGTGGGTGGGCAGGTGTCCTAAGGCCTCAGGCTGGTTTATGTACAGCACGCAGACTGCCTGCCTAACAGGCTGGTACTCTTCTTCAGGAGCCCCACTCATTATACCATCCTCTCACCAAATGGCTCCCTGACTACGACCTTCCAACAGTGAGCCACAGGCAGGCCTCCCACACAGAGGCCCTCCTCAAGGGTGCCAAGCAGCCCAGCCCTTACTTCGCAGGGTTTCTGGTTCTGGGGAGCCAGACTGCGGGACCACTGGAGACTGGGAGCTGTTCTTCTTCTCTCCATTGGCTGCGCCAGCTGCTGAAGGAAGAGGCTGGGAATCTTGATTCTCAGCACGGATGGTGAGTTTTACTGTCGTCTTTGCTGTCTTCAGAAGGCTAATAAACTGGAAAAGTGTTGGTGTGGAAGGGAAACAAAATTCAAAGGCCAATTAGTAGACTTACACCAGTAAGTCACTATTATTGCTGGAATCTAATTCTATCTATGGCTGAGAGAAGAGACAGAGGCAAATGGTTTTCTTGTTACCACTTAAGGGGTACAGAAAAAAGCGGCTCTAGTTTCGCTCTAGCTTGCCCAAATGCCTGATATAGATTAGGGCCACAGTTTAACTTCTACGTTAAGTCTAGTTTTGACCAAATTCTTCCTTATGTAAGCATAAGGCTTTCAACTTTTTACATCTCAAATTAATTTTGTCCTTACAACCTTAGAAGATATATGGGGTATTTTACCCACTTCCTGATTCTACAGAGACTCTGAAGCAGCTTACACAAACACTTTTAATAGAATAGAAACACATATGTTAAAAGCAGAATAAGAAAACTATACAAAAGACAAATCAAGGCAAATGTAAAGTTCAAACAGATTTATGGGTTAAAAGATCCAACTTATCCAATTAGTAAAACTGAATTTTTAAAAAATGGATTTAAGTTTCTTGCTAGCCAATGTAGAAATGAAAACAGTTACCTAGTTCTCCCTCACTACAAGAAAGAAAAAAAACACCACATCTCAGGGAAACAAAACTTTATTTTGACGCTTATATATGAAAGTTCTCAAGTGAGACTCCAAATAAGTGTTACGATCTCTTTTGAGGAGAGGAAAATCAGGTACAAGAACTGTTTAACCCTAATAAATGTTATGCAGTTAACAGGTGAATCTTAAAGTCTGTTCATAAAGCAGTATACCCAATGGATATTTATGGGAGCAAACATTCATAAAAAGGAACTTCTTTGGTAGTAACAGTATGTCATTGTTAAGGAGATTCAAGTTTTCCTAAGGGAAAACTGAAATGATATTTATCAAAAATACCCAGTGATTATTGAATAATTTTCCAGGCAACAGAACATACCTTAATATCACCTTACTGGAAAATAGAAATTGAAGAGCTGAATAACCTCTTCTTTTAACAATATGTCTAATATCACTATATGGCCCTAATTCCCTGTGACCACACACACAAACACTTTAGCTATGTCCAAGGATGGGTTTATATTACTATTTACTGTATTTTTAAAAAGTACCTTTTCAACAGGATAGCCAACAACAATTTCATCATCGATAGCCAAGATCTGATCTCCAACTTTGAGCCGTCCATCCTAAATGGAAACATGGAAAATTTCAAGTGATTTTCCAGAGGTAACTCCCTCCTCTACCACTTTATAACAGTGAGAAAGGTAAAACCTCACCTTAGCTGCTATACCATGCTCTGTTAAACTCTTTATGATGACTCCACTGAGTGTATCTTCTTCACTGATAGCAATGCCCAAACCCCCTTGATCCTAGAAAAGTAAAAACATGAACACTCAGAAGACTTGAAATAGGTTAGTTTTATCCAAAGGGAGGGATATCCAAGGGCTAGAAAAACAATTAAAACTCTTCTAACATCCACTATTAGAAATCTCTGTTTTTAAAGCAAACTTTCACATTTTTCTAAGGACAATAAGTTCTCCTCCATCAAACATTCCAGTGTTTTAACTCCTCCCATATGTCTGACATCTTTAGTAACATTAATAAAATATTCAGATATCAAAAATGTCTTCAGTAATTTAATCAAAACATTCAGCATTTGCAAATTTAGTCTTGTGTAGCTTGCTTATGGAATAAGTCATTCAAAAACAACCCAGGAATCCTCCTGCCTCTTCTCTTTCTGACCTGTAGCTTAGAACTAACAAGCAGGTCTGGCCACTTCATTCTTTTCTGCCACCCTTCTTCCTGTAGCAGGCAGATTGCAATTCCTGTTGCATGCAATGTCGTTTCTGGGGCTGACCACTCAGAGTTGTTTCTCCAGGGAATAGTATTTTGATTTGCTGCGTAGTGAAAACACCTTGTAGCCCTAAGACATGCAATGAGAACCTGCCAAGGCTGGGGAGCTAAACCTACTTTGTCTGTATTTTCCACATTTTCTTTATCAAAACCAAATGTTCAGTAATATTGCACTTTAACTTTCTTTAACATTTATTTTAATAAACTTAAAATAGAGTTTTGAACATTTTCATTCTGGCCAGAGCTAGTAATAGTTTTCATTATAGTTTTTGTCCATGGAAAAGTTACAAAAAACAAAAAAAGAACAAAAGTAATCTTGTCATGTTCCTCTGAAATATACATACAAGAGCCAAACTTGCCATCAGAGACATTTATGGTTATGACTATAACATCAAGGTTAGGTTTCACCATCCTTTTAAAGATTATCAACATTGTAGCTTTTCTAAGGTAGATTATTAATGCCTGATGAGTTTCAGACTGTCAATGAGCATCTCTCTAACACCTCTCTCTTTCCAGGCAATCAGTCATATGTATCAGCCAGAGAAAACTGTACCTTTAGAGTGAGCATAACCGAGTTTACCTTCTACGTAGCTGTAGAAATTTGGATATATCACTTAACATCTATAAACTTCAATTTTCTTACCTAAAAAATCTAAATTTTCTTATCTAAAAAATAGAATAATAGCAATACTTGGCATATAACAGTCAGGAAAATACCTTATTGGTACAGTGGCATTTGCTAATTATTTACCTAACACCTCTACCTCTTTGTAAAAACTGGGAGACTTCCACTAGAATACCTATCCCCACCTCCATAACAACTCTTTCTGTCCCCCTCCTCCTCTCATCTCTTTCTCCCACCCTCACAGTCTCTCTCCCACCTCTCTCCTCCTTCACATTTCAGGTGGTGGCTTTAAAATATGAGCAGAAATTCTTTGATATTGTTCTCTTCAAGAAGGGAAGCCTAACAGTATGGGCTAGACTTAGTGATTTGATTCTAACAAAGCATGAGCAGTAGTGTATAACTTCATAGCTATACAGTTTCCTTGCTGTTTCTCTTGGATCATTCACCCTGCAGGAAGCCAGCGGACATTGTCATGAGGACACTCAGGCTGCCCCCGAAGAGGAAATAAGGCCTCTCGCCAATAGCCACTTAAGTAAATAATATTGTCAGTAATATCTAGCCCCAGTCAAATCTTTGGATGACTGCAGCCATAACTGGCAGTGTGTAGGCAACTGCACAAGAGATTCTAAGCCAGACCACCCAGCAAAACTGAGCCCAAATTCCTGACCCACAGCAACTATGAGAAAATAAATGCCCATTGTTTTAAGTTGCTAAGTTTTGTGGTAATTTGTATCAAAAGATAAGTAGTTTCAAGAATGGGGTTTGAACAACTTAAGTCAACACTGCAATTCTATTCTCATGGCCTCTTCAGTCCCTGGCTGAGGAGTATGCATGTGATCTGAACTGATTCAATTAGGATAGATTTTGGAACTTTTGCTCAGAACATAGGAGCAGTCCTTCTCTCCCCATCCCCCCAGCTATATGTAAAAGAAGTAGCACATGGCCCAACTATGGTTGGAAGCCATTCTCAAACAATGAAGAAGATCAGCCTTGATACGGCACAGTGTCACAGATGGAAATAACTGGCTCTTGATTACAATATTGAGTTTCAGAATCAACTGCCCTTGAAGGTTGCTGATCTGAGTCCATAAATCCTCTTCTTTGATTAAGCCTGATGGAGTTAGGGTTTTTTTTTTTTTGTTGTTATTTTCAATAGGAAGAGCCCTGAAAGGAACAATAAGCTACCCATCTGCATGTATAATATGCCCCAACCCCATTTGGAATACTACAAAAATAAATGTATACACATCTATAATTGATTGATATCAGAAGAGTAAGATGATATGTAAGAAAGGATAACAGGGTGTGACTATACAGTTTCTTACCCAACTGCTCAACTTTCCACTTACTTCTGCCAACTATATACAGTCCTTAACAGGAAAAGATCTGAGAAACATTGTTCTTGGCTAGTTATTAAAATACTACCATACAGGGAATGTCAAACAAATTAAGGAAATATATTTTTGGAGGAAGAGTTGTATAATTAAAGAGCTAGAAAAGAGTAAACAAGAATTAAAAGTGGAATTAAACTAAACAAACTATTATTATTATTAGGAGAACTATTTTGAAGATGGAACATTCCCTAAAATTCAAAAGAAGAAAAGCTCTTAATTGTATTTGAAGACTCTCACCATATAAAATTGTATGGATATGAAAGAAACCCATGACAATCACAGAAGGTTGTTAACTGCTTTGATGTATAGGTACACACATCAAAGTTTGTCTCTGGGGCAAACTGTGGTAAAAATATATCTTTAATCAAAAATATTTCCTGATAAATGGAATAAACCATTCAGTTAGCCAGAGTTTAAATTATATATATAAGAACTTTTTGTTTATACTTCTACTTTCCCTTTTAAAAATGTAAAAGATTAAAAAGAAAAAAGATAATGGACTTGTCAAGAGTTTCTAAAAAATGACCTGCTACTAGAGCTCCCATTTTGAGACAATGTAAAAATTACTGTCTCTTCCAGACTCTCCTGATCTCAAAATCTTTTCCCTCGTGTATGCATTGTGTATGCAAGTGTTCATTCATTCTGCTCTTCCAGATACTCAACATGAACTGTGTATACCACACTGTCTAAGATAATGGGAGAGAAAGTGTAAGAGTTTCTTTTCTCAACGTGTGTGCATTTTAGGTGTACAGAAAAGATACTCAGATGAAAGTTAATAAGAGACATGCTCTTGGGCCAAACATGGTTAAGTGACACATAAATGAAGAAATTAATAGTAACACTATATAGGCCAGAATATTGAAGGAATGTTTCAAAATAAACAGACAAGAGATTTAAGCTGGGTCTTTAGTATATGTAAGATTTAGGTAAGCTGAAAGAAAGCGGAAAGACCATACGAATGATATAAGCAAAGGCAAGGAGGGATAAATTCTCAAAACATTGTCCATGGGCTTTTTTTTTTTTTTTTTTTTTTTTTAAAAAGACAGAGTCTCACTCTCTTGCCCCGGCTAGAGTGCCATGGCATCAGCCTAGCTCACAGCAACCTCATACTCTTGGGCTCAGGTGATCCTCCTGCCTCAGCCTCCCAAGTAGCTGGAACTACAGGCATGCGCTACCATGCCCGTCTAATTTTTTTTTCTATATATTTTTAGTTGGCCAATTAATTTCTTTATATTTTTAGTAGAGATGAGTTCTCACTCTCACTCAGGCTGGTTTCAAACTTCTGACCTTGAGCAATCCACCCGCCTCCCCCTCCCACAGTGCTAGGATTACAGGTGTGAGCCACCGCACCCGGCCTATCCATGGGCTTTTGATCCAAATAAGTTTGACTAAAGTGGAGGAACCTATAGGGTTTTAAAAAGGTAGATGGGGCCCAGATGCAAGCTGAAACTAGCAATGGGAAATGGGACTTGAAGGTAAAAGACCAGAGTTTAAGTTCTAGCTCTACCATTTGGAGTCATGCGAACAGGTAAAAATGAAAAAAATAATAGCAATCTCACAAGGTTGCTAAGAAGTAAATGATATAATGAACTATGTGGTATTACCAGTAAATTATTTTTTCAAATAATCATAACTTTAAAAAATATAGGACAGTATAAATGACAAAGGATTTCAGATGAGACATGAGAGACATAATTCTCCCATCTTTGCTTAATTGAGTTTTACTCCCAGATCCATCTAATAATGCAGTTAAGAGTATGGAGGCTTATTGGGACATGTCACTTAACATCATTTTTAGCAATGGCTTCCTCAGAGATGTTTTCAAAGACACATTCTATGGGGAACTCAGAAACTCATGGCTAAAAGTATTAATGAAAATAACTATAATAACTTATACTGTGGTAAGTGCTTTATATAAATTCTTAATCTTTACAATAGTATCTCTAATATAAAGGTTATTTTCCCCATCTTACCGATGAGTAAAGTGAGGCCCAGAGAACTTAAATGGTGTAGGAAAGCAGCTGTTACATGGCAAAAGGGATGCCATCTTAAAGTGAAATGGCCATGATGACTGACATTTGACTCCTGCATACCAAGGAATTCTGTAGCAAGGTCTTTAAACAATGCCTGTAGCATACACAACCCTTCATAAAGATGTTTATCTAACCTCCCCAGTGGTCATGAGGTTCAGCAAGAAAGTCTGAGATGTTACCAGCTGCACATATCTTTACCCTAAAAGCTTGCTACATAAAGGATATTTTCTAGAGGGTAGATGTGGGGATCCACTGTCTTATGGCCACCCATGGTATCACTTTCATATATAGGTCCCTGTTAAATATTTCTTTCTGAGAAACTGAATTTGTCTGCCTCTTTCTTTGGCCTCTAAGCTCCTTTGGCTGTTAAGAGTAGGTTTGCATATACCTGTCACAGTGGAACAAATGGCTTGTCTATAACCCAGAGAAACTGCATGACTCTAAAAGCCCACACTTAAAATCATTAAAATCATGGTTAACTGCCTCTTGTTTCTAGCTGACTTTAAAGTGAATATTCCCCTTACTCACTTTGGCTTTCATCAATAAATACATTCCAGATACCTGATCTTTAGATTTATTTGAAATCTACATGTAAATGGAAGCTTTTAGTGGGTAATATACTGAGGCTCTCTAAGGTCTTAGATTCCTGATATAGCAACTTATTTAGAAAGGGAAGTGTACTTAATAGACATCCATTGAATAGCCATCCAAAAAGGAGGCTAAAAGCAGAGACCAGCTTTAATATTATAGAATAAGGAACCTTGCTCATTAGTTATCCAATCCCAACAATAGCCCTCTGGTATAGGCAGCTCCATTTATAGAAGAAGAAAGTGAGGACCAGTAGGATTAAATCATTTATGGGAGATCACGCAGGATGCGAGAAGTGATTCTAGGAGAAGAACAGGCTTATGTCCATCCCACTGCTAACGTCCAGGCCAAAGAACTTAAATGTATCTGTTTGACAATGAAGGTCCTCGAAAGGTTCTGAGTAGAGGATTAAGACAATATGAACATCCCACAAGCACCTTATTCAGGTTGCCTAATGCAGGAAGAGAAAGCATCAGAGAAAACCAGTGGCAAGAAGCAGACAACTTTGCCAGTTTATTCTTTCCCGCTTATTATAACAATAATAATAAAAAGCAATACTTACATATGTATGCTAGGTACTGGATGCTATACATATGTATATCTAATTATCACAATATATACTTAATTCTAACTACAACTGTACAATTATTATGCCCATTTTGGAGAGGGAAAACTAGGTACAGATTAAGAAATATGCCCAAGGTCACAGTCTCACAGTCAGTAAGTGGCAAATCTAGGTCTCTGACTCATGTGGTCCGACTTTTAAGTCTGTGCTCTCAGCCACTACAGTATTCTGCTCCTTATTCATCTAACAAGCTCAATTTACCAACATTTTCTGGGCACTCATTATATTCTAGGTTGTACTAAGCCTTAGATGAATAAATCAAAATCAACACTATAAAAGGACATTTTGGATTTTTCTAAAGATAAGCATAAACTGAGATTTTTTTAAAAAAGTATTCATTATAAAGTATTTATGCATTTAAATGTTTCATAATTAACAAATTATAGAGAAATGATTGCACTGTTAAATACTATAAACTCTAACTACAGGATTTCGGAGAAAAAAAACCCATGGCCTGAAATCAGGAAGGTACAGAGGAACATATTCTATCTCTTAAATGGCAATAGAATGAGGGATCCTGGAATTGAAGTGTATAGACTTCTAGACAGAAAGGGTTAAAGGTTTTAATGACTTCTGTTCTTTTTTCTCTATCTACAACAAAAATAGCCTATAATAAGTGTGTCTTTGATATGTATATTACAAGACTAGAGCAATACACTTTTTATAGGGTTATCTATTATAAAAAAGAAATCCAATCAATATAGACAGGGTATTTTATTTCCCTGAATACTTAACAGAGTCTGATCATGTGCCAGGAATTATGCTATTTTATAAGCAACTCATTTAAACTTTACAATACCTAAGATAAAAGTACTTATAATATCATAATCTTAAATTTACAGATAAGAAACCTGAAGCAAAGAAAGATTGTACAATGTATCAGGTCTGTATCTGATGAAGCAAGGATTCAACCCAGACAGAACAACCCCAGAGCTCAAGCTCTTAAACATCATGCTGTATTGCCTCATGGCTGGAGACTGGTGTATAGACCACTCTGCTTCTTTCTGTCTATAGCACTTCCTGCAAATCTCCTGTACCCCCACCCCAACTCCTTCTTTCTTCTTCTCCTTCCTGAGCACTTCACCGCTCTTTCTGTGTATACTCTTGTTCATCCACCATCCACCTGCTTTCCAGCATGAGCCCGAAGCACCTGAAAGCATTTATGTTTCTGTTCAGCAAGTGGTCTTTTCAATGTAAAGATCAGATCTTTTCAAAGAAATACCTTGCTAATGCCTATCAAAACTTCTAGCTATATGAGCTTTCCTTTTTATAAAAGACAAAGACTATAACTTCTATTTCATTATTTTTATTTCCTCCATAGCAGGACCTTGATAAATGAACCAAGGAAAGATTGCTAAATTTCATACCTTTGAAAAATCATAAAAGGAAAAGCTAGGCCCCTGCTAAAGAATCAATTAGTACAGTGTTTCTCAAATTCAAGTGTGCATTAGAATCACCAGGAAGGCTTATTAAAACAGAAACTTCTGAGCCTACCCTTAGCGTTTCTCATTGAGCAGGTATGTCTGGGTGGGCCCAAGTGTCTGCCTTTCTAACAAGATCCCAGGTGATGCTGATCCTGCTGATTTGGAGACCACACTTTTGAAAACCAGTGAACTAGAACACTGGAGTGAAAGTACTCACATCATTTCATTCCAATTTAAAGCGGATTTACCTTGGGAAGCTCCAGATGTTGCACATTTTTAAATGAACTGAGGTCCACAGCTGCACCCGAAGTAGTAATACTTGGCTCTGTCTGACAGAGGGAAAGAAAAGGCAAAAAAGGCAACTGATTATTAGGTATTTTTGTTTTATATAGGAGCCACTTAATCAAAATTATTTCATGTAGTATAACTCATTATTACTATTTTAACATTTTATGGAATATGTGAACATTATATTCTCTTCAAAATACATACGAGCTATGACTGGGCAACAATTATTTTAAAGCACAGAGAGACCAAGTGGCTCTGGAGACTGCCTGGATTTACTCCATAATGAAATCTAATAGCAACCCAGCTACCAACAGTGACACTCAAAACAGAACACCAGCAGAGGCACCATTCATTATTCTTTACTGTGTTAGTTACCAAGTGAATTTAAAATTAGTAAATGTTTTACCTGAACATTATTAAACTATTCCATTTCCTTAAGGGATATATTTAGTAAAATTTAGTATGAAAATAAAAGTTTCTACTTTATAATCTAGGCTTCTTGAATAACCACCTGACTCAGTTCTACATAAGGAACAGTTAGACAATGATTTGTATACCTATCGTTATGTATAAATAAGCTTTATGTTTATATAGAGCTTTTATTCATTGAGGGAAGAGTGTTTCTGTTCCTACACCTTCCCCTGCTCATAATCACCATGGCTTCTCTAATTTCAAACTTTTCACTTTCTACTACTTCCTTTTATTCATCTTATATATGGAACCAAAGTTTTTCCAAACCAAAACAAAACTCCCACCAAAAAACTCTCTTAATTTTTTGTCGCCCTCTAGCCACTTCTCTCTCCCTCCTTAATTTCTTTTCCATCATTTGCTTTCTGAAGAACCACTACATAATCTCCTAATTGCCAAATCCAAGGGACTCTCTTTAAGCATCTTCTAACTGGACTTCTTTGCAGCACTTAGGGTATGGAATATATGCTTTTTCCTCCAACATGCTCTTCTGGTTTTTCTTCATCCTGCCTGACCCCTCTTTGTCAGTCTTTCTCCTTCTTAGTGATAGTACATGGTTCTGATCTTGGCCCTCTTTTTTTCTCTAAATGCTCCCCATAGACAAGCACCTCAGCTCCCATGGCTAACAAATGCCAAATACACATCTATGGGAATTCATCTCCAAACTCCAGACCAACTATTCCAATGCATACTTCTACCAGGCTTTCCAACAGGCACTTCATTCTTAAGCTGCTTAAAACAGAATGTACTATATTTTTGCAAATATCTGCTACTCTTTTCTGTCTTTTCTATTTTGGTGAAAGACAACTACCCATGATGTCACCAAGCCAGATGTCTGAAAACCTTATACATCCTGTTTAATTCTCCAGTGTATCCTCAGCCCAAAGAATAGTACCTGGTATAAGGCAGATTACCCAGGAAATATTTGTTGGATAAATAAATTCTCAACCACTCAAAATTTTTCCTCAATGAATATATTTAGTTGGGGATGAAGTACTATCAATTTGAGATCTAAACCTCTGACATAACCATCCTCTCTTCTGTTGCCTTAGTTCAGGCCCTCTTTATCTTTCTCCTGAATTATTCCGATAATTTTCTTACTCTCACTAACTTAACTTCTTTCCCCTGCTACCTCTGATTTTTCTCTACACTACTGCTGGAGAAGTTTTTAACAATACAGTTCTCATTTTTTGAGCTCCAGACTGCCTTGAAGGCAAAGTCAGCACATGTTAGCCTATTAATGTTTCCCATGATCTCACCCTATCCCCTTCCTCAGGGACTCTCTTCTCACTAGTCCCCATTCTTCACCCCACACTGTTCATTGATGCTCTATAATTTCCAATTCCCTGCACTGTCTAGAGAGTCCATACCGTTCCTTACTCCATGCTGGCAATGTTTTTGCCCCTAAATCTTCCAATGCATACTTCCCATGTAATGTCTTTCATAAGGTCGTCTTCCCTCCCTCTCTACAGAGGCAGAACTGACAACTCACATTCTACCCTCCCTATATCCTAGGCAGGCTACAAGTAGCCTTCACGTATGTGGCACACTTATTTGCATGAGCGTCTTTTTGCACTAGATAAACTCCTCGAGGGCCAAAGTTATAACTTATCTACTTTTGATATACCTGTAAGGATTGATAATTGGTAAGTGAATTAGTAAGGGGTACAGCAATAAAATCTATCCAGAAAAAACAAACAAAAGTGACACATACTTCCTTATTTTGAAGATTCTCTGAGGTAGAAGGCAAAGGTTCTACTGTATTTCCAGGACATACAGCCATCTGACTCACTGCATCTTTATTTCTAAAAGAAAAAAGCATCAGTGTATCATATCATGATGATATTATTTTCATTCTCTTACTTGAATAAGAAACATTATTAGAGAAAATTCTCTAACCTCAAAGACCTGGAAGTATAGCACTTACATATTTATAAATGCTTTGTTTTCATTCAAAAGAACTCAGAGTTAAAATGCCAATAAGAATTTGGTAAACCAGCAAAAGAAAATGCTCACCTGATAAAAATTATTTTTACTTTAGAAGGGGCACATTTAATGATTGATGAAGCATTCTGATGACTTCTTCCATATAAAATTTGACCATTGATCTGTGAGAAATAAGTATCATTAGTTGAGCCTAAAATTCTAATTTCATAAACTATTATCCTATCTAGCTAATTAAGCACATTTTTTTCCTGCTTTTAAAATATTATGTGCATTTTCTTCCCCAGAACATGAACCTGAATTTTGATGATAAATAAAGTTCATGTTTATAGCCAACGTTAAAATGATGTACACAAAGTCTAATATCCACAAACTGATAAAGAGGCACCACTTGGACCAACTGCAGGAGAGTAGACAGCAAACCTCCTGGCAGGCACAGGGCTTCCAGCATGCTCTGCACAAAGCAAAGGCCCTGTGGAAACACCTGAGACCCGCAAAGGCCATTCCATGAAGTCTACTACCATCACATTTCCTAGTTAGTCTCAAAACTCATGGCCTGGGAATAGGACATTGGGAGAAGCAATGCTCAGCAGATTCAGGACTTAGGCAGCAGACTGTGCCTAGGTAGCACAGTGGCCAGTGCAAACTGCCAGCTCAGTCATCTAGTCATTTAGCCTTCGCTGAATGAGCCTCCAGAGTCAACAGGGTAACACACTTGGCATAGGTTAGAGCATAAAGGCAATGTAAAGACACGTGGATTCCAGCCTACAGGAGGCATGGACAAACAACAGAAGCAAATAAAATTCTAAACAGTATAATGCATCATCCACAAATTTCCTTTGTTTGGTGGGCTGAGTTATTGCTTTTGTATTTAGCCTTAACCTTGACCCCACCCACCTCACCTCATCACTTCTCCCATTAGTGATTCAACTTCCAGAATGTCTGGTGGGTCAGCCTCATTACTGGGGAATGATTGGTCACTTGGCTTTTCAAAAACTCCTAATAAAAATGCAGCAGACAAAATAAATGTTTTTGAAGTGTGATCTTTATTACTGTCTTGGAGCACAAATTGTTTCTGGTGCTACACAGTCATGACCTTTTAATGGGAACACGAGCTTTACTTAGCAGAGGTTTGGTCTAGAGCCAAATTTGCTGCAATGCATCTATTTTATTAGGCAAGTAATAGTTTTCTCAGTCACCATGAGGTCTGGGTGATTTTCTGGAAACTGATGATTCCACTGCACTGATACAGCAGGGTAAATTTAAAATTTTCCACAAGAACTTACCTCTAGAAGCTCATCTGCAATCTGCAATCGACCATCTTTTCCCGCTGCTCCATTTGGATCAATTCCCACTATGAAGACACTCATTCTGGATCGGTCTCTGTTCCCAGCAAGACTTAGACCCAAACCGCTGCGACCTTTCTCCAGTTCAATCATATGTAGCTCTCCTGTTAGGGTTCCATAACGCTCTCTGATATTTTCTACATACAACAACAAAACATATATATTTAAAGTTAATTCACAGGCAAATGCTTTACTATGGAAGGCTATTTAGTTTTATCTCGAAAGGGCATTATTTGTACCAAAATGTAATCTTTGGCAGTTAAAAGTTAAACAGATTGGCCACCTAGGCATCAGGCCTGGTTTCCTGGAGTACCCAAACTTTGAGGAATTTCTTTGCATCTAGGGTGCAGAGAACATAGTGTCTGATTAACCAGTTCACCTTGAGGCGATTAGGCCCAGGAGAAGTAACTCACATTTGTAAACTCCCAAAGAACTATTATGAAACCAGAAACTCACCTTCTCATTTGCAGAAGAGAATAGAACTAAGGTATACAGAATACTTGTGTGTACTGCTCAGCAGAAGCTTGACCCATAGGAAAATCTACATTGTATATCACATCATGTTGGGCAGTTGCTGGTACATATATCCAGAATGAAGGGAATGAGTTTTCTTTTTGCACAGAGCCGTAAGGTTAGGACAAACTGATGTACCTGTCCCACTTTTAGGACACATATCCTAATTAGATTAGCCATACCATTTACAGCTCCCATCCCACATCTTAAAAAGGTAAAGTCTACTGTCCACCCCCTTTAATCTTAAAGGGCAAGGCCCCAGATAAGTGACTGGACAGCAGCTAGTACTAATTGCCAGCCATGTGAGTGAGGCAACTTGGAAGTCCAGTTCAGCTGAGCCCACCACCATACCTTGTTTTTAAACCAGTGGTCCCCAGCCTTTTCAGTACCAGGGAGTGGTTTCATGGAAGATAATTTTTCCATGGACAAAGGGCTGGGGGACAGGGGTGGTTTGGATGATTCAAGCACATTACATTTATTGTGCACTTTATTTATGTTGTAATTATATTGTCACTTGCCACTCACTGATAGGGTTTGGATATAAGTCTGGAAATAATTGATTTGGTATCGTCTCTGTGCAGTCAAACCTCTCTGCTAATGATAATCTGTATTTGCAACCACTCCCCAGAACTAGCATCACCACCTCAGATCATCAGCATTAGATTTTCATAAGGAGTGTACAACCTATAACCCTTGCATGAGTAGTTCATAGTAGGGTTCATGCTCCTATGAGAATCTAATGCCGCCGCTGATCTGACAGGAGGTGGAGATCAGGTGGTGATGTAAGCAATGGGGAATGGCTGTAAATACAGATGAAGCTTTGCTCACTCACCTGCTGCTCATCTCCTACTGTGCGGCCCACTTCCTAACAGTACTGGTCCATGGCTCAGGGGTTAGGGACCAGAGTTTTAAGCCATATTTTGGGGTAACTCAATAATAGAAAACTGAAACATCCCAGTTCACATTTTTTTCAAAGTACATTCTGGCCACCTTGATTGGATTAGCAGTATGCTCTAATATCATTGATAATAGGCTGAGAAAACTGCAAACTACATGGCTAATGTCATGCATTCTACATTTATACTTCACAGCATCAATTTCATAAATTGCCATCTCCTGACTCCTTATAGAATCTAGCAGTATGACTTTTATACTCTGTACTTTTTAAAAACATGTATTGTGTTCTTTAAGGAAATAACTAGATTTTTAAAATAAAACTTTTTAAAACAATGAAATGTATAACTTTTGGCTATATTTTTTAATATTTTCCTATAAAATGGTTTATTTCCATAGAAAACAGAGACACCCCATTTATCCTGATAACAGCTGCCTTTGAATGATTCCTGTGCACCAGGCATTGTGCTTGGCACTCCTCAGACATTATCTAATTTAATGTTAGCAACCTAAGGGAAAAACTGCAATTTAAAAAGAGAACAACTGAGCTAAAAGTTAGAAGTTAAACAACTTAGCAAATGCCAAAAGTTTTGATCTTCACAATTATACTAGGTTACCCTCCTAGTACAAATAATACCAGAAGTTCAAGGTATAATATCAACAATCAGATTTTACAATGAGGACTCTGAGGCCCAGAAAGGGGCGATAACTTCAAGACCCCAAGGTGACTGATCCAGTACTAGCTTTTGAGACAGTGCCCTGTCCTCCTTAATTCTCATACATTAACAGGAATGCACATTTAAAAGAAAAAGAAGAACATGATTTCATGCCTCAGAAATGTATGCTGTATTCAAGCAAAACAAACAGCAATTTTTTTCTACACAGAATTGTACTACATATCACAAAAGTTGCAACATATTTATTCATCCAGGCCAGCTTTGAGAAATTCAAAGCTACTTTAATACCTCTTATAATTAAGTACATAATGAAAGACAACTTACTCCAGCTGTATCCAAACTCATCCTCTTTGTCCACCTCTTCTGAGATACTGCTTGAAGATGACTGTGCGTGGTCACTGCCCATTTCTGCAAATGCTGAAGGAGGGGGTGGGGGCACACTGCACAATGGAGCCTTCTCTGGCTCCGACTCCAACTGACTGGGTGCCTGTGGGAACAAGAAGAATGCAGTGGGTATGTGCAGTTTAAGGAAGAAAACTTCAAGGAAAATAAATAAGAGTGCAATGTCAAAAAGAAAGACTGACTTTAAAGTATCTAACAGATAATGGAATATTCACATATACAGAAAATGTTATAAAGGATTCAGGTAAAGTTTAAATATACTAAACAAAAAAGTATCACAGCATAATTCATTAAACTGCTATTTGCTATTTTAAGCCAATCAGTTATTCAATACAAAGGCTTAAATGACTTAGAAAATGATACAAACTTTCCCTTCTGGAAAAAATTTTTTCAATCAAAATTTAGCATAAATATGCAGGGTTCTGGGCAAGATTTTCAGGGTCTAGAAAGATCTGCCAAGAAAACAAACAAACAAAAAAATGAAAATTATCAATGAAGTTGCCCTTCAAAGCTTGTTAATTAGAACATATATGAAGAATTCTTTATTGTTACCTGAATCCTCTCTCCAAATAATTCTCTCAACAAATCCAAGAAAACAAGCATTGCACATGCAGGCTTGTGTACCAGGCAGCCAGTTTATTAGCACAGAGCACACAGCCTCAGATCTGAGGGACAGCACCATCTTTCCCTTGCCAACGTAGTTTGCAAGGTAAATTATAAAACATAGGACAATACTTCAGAGAAAGCCAAGGTGTAGCATACTTGCTGTCACTCAAGACCATAGGTCCTATTTCAAAAAAACAAAAAAAGGATTTGGTATTTGGTATCATCCAGTTCTTATATTAATATTATAGATTATTAAACAGAATGTTAGAGTTCAAAAGGCCTTTAAGTCACTGAGTTCATTTTATTCATTTTGCAGATGAATAAAACCTTTGAACCTGAGGCCGGGAGAAGCAAAAGATTTTGTTCCAAATCACACAGTGGCACTAGACTTCCTTTTGCTTAATTCTTAATCCAAAGCACTTTCCATTATACCATGTTGTCTCCTACAATTTACACAGTAAGATGGTACTTAATTCAATGGTCAGGGACACCAGCTAAAGTTCTAATCTTTGTACGAAGCTGTCCCTGATGCCTTAAACCTATAGTTTTCCTATCCTTCTTTATTTTACTATTTGTTTGTTTGTTTTTGTTTTCTTGAGACAGCATCTCAACTCTGTTGCCTGGGCTAGAGTGCAGTAGCATCAGCATAGCTCACTGCAACCTTGAACTTCTGGGCTCAAATAACCCTCCTACCCTCAGCTTCCTGAGTAGCTGGGATTACAGGTACAAGCCACCACCCCCTAATTAAGTTTTTTATTTTTTGTAGAAACGGGGACTCACTCTTGCTCAAGCTGGTCTCAAACTCCTGACCTCAAGCAAACCTCCTGCCTTGACCTCGCAAAGTGCTGGGATTACAGGCATAAACCACTAAACCCGGCCTTATTTTACTTTCTTTCTGCATAAAAATCCCTCTGACATAACTTATCTTAATTTATGTTTATATCTAGAACAAAATATTATGATTTTTAAAAAACCTACTTCTTTTAAGAATACACTAAAGGATAGGCATGTACAAATACTTAGGAATTATTAATTGGTGCCAAGAAAATCAGAATATCACAAATTATATCTCACACTAAAACTATTTGACAGTGAGTGTGATCTTTCTTTGATGATTCAGAAAGCACTAAATTTTCTAGCAAAGCAGAGAACTGGTTGACAGAGACTTAAGAGCAATGGATTTTCAGGTCACAGAATCTGCTGTATTAAAATGTTCAACTCATACATCATTGGACAGATAAAATTCTAGTGCAAATGAAACTCCTGTTTATGTTCTCAAACACTGTTCTGTAAATCTCTCAAATTAATAATGTAAAAATAAAAATTAACAAACATAAAAAACTCATTTGATCCAATAAAGTTTCACTAATCATAGTAAAGGGAAAGGAGTATGTACTTCAGAATATTTCTGGTTAAAAATTCTACTTCTCTTTAACAATAGAAAATGCTAGTAAGTATGAATTCAATCCATTTCATTTTTAAGAAGTAGAACAAAATCAAATTTAAACCTCCTATAGTTTTAACAAATCTATAGATGCACATTATATAGATTTTGCTGCATAATTTTCCTGAGCTGTTATTTTCCTTAAGAACAAACAAACAAAACCAGCTTGCTTATCTGAAAAAGTGTTTGCATTCTTAGGCACAACATTTTCATACTGTGAGTAAATCAAAATGGGGCCCTAAACCTAACTGACTAATCATAAAACTAATATAAGCCTGTATTTACCTGAGGGGCAATTAGGTGTTCTATTTTACTACCCTGGGACCCTCATTCCATCAAGATCATGTATCTGACTTGTTACTGGCACTTCTTAAAATTTATTCATGAAAATATAGCTCTTTAGCAAAGATCATTTAGCCTTCACTGGCAAAAATGCAAAGTGCACTTGAAATCACTCCATGCCATGTATGTACGGATCAAGGACAGCACACGTGTACAGCACACGGTAGCACACCCACGTAAGAACATGTCACACAGAGACAAACCTTAAAGGGACTAGGAGCAAAAGGGTTAGTTGGGGAACAGTGGAAGATAATTCTACTTGAATTCTGTAATTCCTACAGTAATAGAAAACATATTCCTTCAGATATAGCATCTTTGGTTATCCATATTACAATAACATGAAATCTGATGAATATTCATAAAATGTTTCCTGAAAGAAATTGTTGACAGCTTTTTTCCTTTTCATGATCAAATTATGGTATATAAATTCTTGTAAATTTTCGTTTTAATTTTGGTTTTATAATTTCATCAGAATATGAGAATATCTAAATATAGATTTACGAGCACTGAAACAGTTATGTTTCCTGATTCAGGCATTTACATGGATATGCTTTATGAATATTCAAAAGATTTCTGCATGTACACGTACACAATTATTTGCAGAGTGAATAACTCATGTGAGAGCTTTTACGACCTCCTTGCAGAAGTCTGAAAAGGCTTTAAACCAATACAAGGTTTTAAAGAAGAAATTATACATGAAAGTAGTTCATATATTTGGCCAACTAACAAAAAATTAAATATCACAAAATTTAAATCACACCAAAATGCAGAAAAGGCACTGGACTCATGATTCTCCTTTACTTTTCAGAAGGGCCATTTAATTTCAGAGATAAAAGTGAATATTCTCTGGCAAGAAAATGTGCTTAAGAAAGGATTTGCATGCCCACTCCAAACGCACAGTTGTGTTTTTTTGTTTTTTTTTAATCTCCTTTTCTGCCCAAATGTAGTAAACAGTGAACTGGGACAAAGGCACAGTAACAAAGCAAATAACAAAACATTTGCAAAGGCAATGGCAAGACAATGGGCATTATCCAACCTTGTCAGCGTTGAACTGTAGAGAGTCAGCAAATGGGTTAGTGCTGCTGAAGTTGTACTTAGGGTAAAGGTTGTGCGGCAAGGAAGGCAAAGGGGATTTCTAAAACAAAACATAAGAGGCGCTGAGCCCAAAAGGACGTATTTATAACAACACAGTTTTAAGAACAAAGTACTTACTGGTTTTAAAAACTGTGTAAAACAAGATCCTGTCAGATCCAGTAATCAATGCCAACATCTTAAACGGTCTGGAACTAAAGATTTGTCTAACAATCTGAATGTACACCTGAGTCTAAATCAGTCCACAAACCACACAGGAAACTAGCTTGTCAAATTGATCCCAAATTGCTTTTGTTTTTACTGAATGTCTTCACTATCATAGATAGAGGCACATACATTTTGCTGACTTTATATATTAATATATGCTTCATGCATACCAATAAATGTGCTTAAAAATTAAAACCACAAAAGTTTTCATTTACATTTAAAAGCTAGTTATGTTTTTTTATAAAAAAAATAGTCTATCTGTTCCAGAATGCAAATTAAACATCTGTCTTGCTAGTTCACTGGTAACCTTCATTATTCTTTTCTTTCGTTTCCCTGTAAGGAAACTTTTCATACTTTCACTAAGGGGTGGGGAACCTGCGGCCTTGGGGCCACATGTGGCCTTCTGGATTCTTGAATGCAGCCTTTTGACTGAATCCAAACTTCACTGAAGCTGCAACTGGGGATCTGGAGGGCCACGTGTGACCTTGAGGCCCCAGGTTTCCGGAGGGAGTAACTGTCTTTTTTAATTAAAAAAAAAAAAAAAAATCAACAATTTGTGAAGAAATGAAATCCTGTACAGTGATGTTCTCTCTTTTCGCCCATTTTTTGTGGAGATAGAAACATGGAGATTCATGTTTTCAAAAAATTTCCTATAAAATTTCCCATATTATTGGGGAATTTATGAGGCTTTGGATAATATTTGAAGTCCTGCCTTCGAGTTTTCCTCATAGGTTTTGTGGCTCGCCTGTAATAATCCCTGAGCCAGACTGTTAGAGTTGAATATACATTTTAAAGGCAGGATGACTGCCAGATACAATTTAGCATTTTCATAGTTACAAAAAAAAAAAAAGAAAAGTAATTTCCTTAGCACAATAAATTCTTCTTCTTTTAACACCCACTATCTTTTTCTTTTATTGACTATATCTTTCAGGGGAAATTGCAGACATTTAAAATTCATTTTGGCTCTAATTAAATGTTTGTGTTACTTCTCTCTATAAAAAAGTCCCACTGGCAGGCATCAAGTGTAGAGAAAGGTTGTCATGTGACACCACCCTGTATGGGAGAACACTCTGGAAAGACTCTATCCTCAGTACGCCTGCACTAAAGCTTATGCCACATTACCCTTTCAATCTGCTCTTCTTGCAATGTTTTTCCTACAGAGAGAAGACGGGAAAAAGAAATGGGCACAATGACATTTCTGCTCATCTCAACTTTCTCCCTGCTTTTCAGTTGAAAATGTCAACTCCTGCTTTACAAAAGTGAAGATCACAAATGCCAAGGAACAGGACCATTTATTTATTAAGGTGCAAGAAATGACTAGATAGAAATGAAAAACATATCTTAGGCAAAATAATTCAATGATATAGATTGTAGAGATTATTTCTAATCCTCATACATGGGATTTTTAGGTTTCAAGTGTCCTTTATAATTCTGTAGAATTATAGAAAACAATAGAAAACAAAACTATAATGGCAAGAAATGGAATATTTAAAGAGAATATTAGTTTTTTTTAATTTTTATTTTATTTCTTTTGTTTTATTTTTTTTTAATTTGCAGATCTCATAGGATTAGAATTTGGCCCTGATAGTAGAGTATAAAAGTACAGCACAAGCATAGCAAATGAAATGGTAGATCACTCTATTATTAGGGAAAGATTTATAGAAACAGACTATATGTTTTATTAAATTATCAATGACAGAATTTGTTTCTAGTCCCAAGGCCCAATAAAAGCAGAAACAGTATTAATTAAGAAGCAGCACAAAGAAGACAAAAATATTCTCCAGCCCATTAATGGGGCCCAGCTATCAGTCAAACAATGTGGTCAGACTGAATTCTGTGAATGGTCAAACTGGTAGAATTAACAGGGCTAGTTCTGGAAACTTCTGATCTTTGAACAGCCTACAGGCCAAAAAAACTGACTGGCTTTTCAGTCTATGTATAAGATTTCCTAGAAGCTTTATCCTACATCTACAAATAAAACATCTAGCACTGAGAGACTCTTAAGTATGCGTACTTCTGATTTTTTTCATTTTGATTACTGGAGATATGATAGTTTGCATAGGGGAGTAAACCATTGAAAACAAAATACATTTCACTTTAAATGCAAAATTAATTCTAATTTCCCAAAGCAAAATGAGTATAACTTGACTAAACATGTCATTGTAAGCAAGATTTATCCTGGAATAATTGCCATAAATCAGGTGTCATTATACCTCATAGTAAAATAGGAACATTTTCCAGGTGTATGAGACAATATCGTCTCAGCTCATTAGAAAATGTGAATGACATTGAAAGAAATGTTTGTAGCTTAAGTTTTTAAAGCAATATTGAGAATCACTATTCAGCAATTTATATTAATAGTGTTGTCCCAAATGATGTAAAAGTTGGAAATTAAAAATAAGACAAAAAATGAATAAAATCCACCCACACATAAAAGAATAGCTTTAACTTAGCAGCCATTTACCAATATCATCATGCTGTGTCTATGTTTAACACACAAATGGAAACAAATGTAAAAAGATTTATAGTTATTTGAACAAACTGAATAGCATTTGTAAAGAATGCAGCATGATGCAGCCCTACCATTTGGCAGATTTTCTATCTGAATGGATAATTATTACCTAACAATAAACAACTGAATGATTAAAAACTGCAGATGTGAAGATAACTGCTTACATTAAGAACTACTAAATTTATTCCTTACAGTGAACTCAGACCAATTACACCTGTCTTGACTACAAAAGGAAGGACCAGTAAGATAAATCTGGTCACTTCATTTATATTCCATGGAATAGAATATTGATAAGTTACTCTGACAGATCTTATCTACAGAGGAGTTTGCTACTTTCCTTCCATCATTTGAGCATTAATATCTTAAATTCTTAATTTTACAGTTAAAATTAAATATATTTATGCATAAAATTGCATATTTTAAGTTTTAGAAGATGCCTTTAACTTCTCTCGCATATGTTAATATTTTCTTTTAAAAGCAACCCATCCTAAAAACTGGTAAGCAGATAATTCAAAGAGAGATCTGACAGGATTTGTCAACTTAAATCTGAAAGGGAAGTCTCTAAGAGCTATCAGGGCATCTAGGAAATGCCTGAAATGGTATGCAAACTTTTGAGTGAATATGTATGCTTCTGAAGAACTTTCAAAGGGGTATGTGACCCCAATATACTTAATAATTGTTGGATATGAAAATTTTTTTTTCATGAGACATAAAGAAAGAATAGAAAAAACAGTTTTAAAATCTTGGCATAATTTTCATCTTCAGTATCACTAGGACACATCAAATACAAGAAGCCTCATTTTGTATCTTCTCTCTCAACAATATTCATTAAATGTACTTATATTTTCTAAAATATTTTTTAAAGCTTTTACCTGTGATGACTGATGGCAAAATGGGTTAGTAGAGTTTTGTCTAGAAGTAGTTATACAGTGATGAAGAGCTATACAATGATTGTAGCTGGGAAACTAATTATGAAATCACTTATAAATAAACAAAGTCTACCCTGTGAAAATTTAATGTTCAGTGGCATACAAGAATACATTATATATCATTCACAGGTGATCATGGGATTGCATAAGCAGGAAATTCTGTCCAGAAGGTAAACTTAAAGAAAATGTAATTTCTCTGGCTTCTGAGGTACTCCAGTAGAGATCATGGGCTATTAACCTAAATGACCATACCACATCCCTTTTAACAACTTGTGTATTTTGTGATTATAATGAATACTAGATACCATCTACATACCTACAGCCACCAATAAATCTTACTTCCGTGTGTTTTCAACAGACTTCAAAAGTCTTTATTAAACTTTGTGGAAAGGATTTCCAGGATAATTCAATTTTTGAAAAAGCAAAACAAATTTTAACAAGTCTGAGATTTCAAAAATCAATGTCTTTGCTCATACAGACAACTTGGCCCTTGATACATTAGATTTCCAAGTTGAACACTGTTTGGATATGCCTACCTTGCCCTTTGTGTTCGCTTACCCTTGGTCTGTTTATAATGCTCTGTACCATAAAGACTACAGGGTTGCCTGCTTTCCGAATGGCTTCCACAGCTTGCTCATGGCTTGCATCTCTGAGGTCCATTCCATCCACCTGCAATGGAAGGCCTCAGCTTAACATTTCAAGAAGCTATAGAACAACAATAAATTGTGGATATGGAATTTTGAGGATCCTTGGTTAGGATCCTTGAAAATCTGTTTCAGTATCAAAAATAATTAAGACAACTTGTGAGGCTACAGAACTTCTCATCTGTCTGGCAGACTTGTGGTTCCTTTTTTAGACACAGATTTCTGTCTCCAATAATCAACTGGAATAATAATCAATTGGAATGAAGGCTCTGCTTCTGCATTCTTCACATTGCTCAGCTGTTCCTTTAAATTAATAAATCAGTATCATTAGAGAAATAATATAGGGAAACTGTCTAGCAGCACTGCCTTCATCATGAAAGTCACTGTACTAATTTTCTTCTAATTCATTATGGAGTGGTTTGGGAAGTAGAAGGATGATGCCTGGTATATTTCTCTCTGTACAGGGGAGATTGAAGTTAAAAACAAAATTCTAATATCCAGAAAAATCAGATTATGGTAAGGTTAGTTTGGCAAAAGAATCTTTGCAGTAGACATGATAGGAGCTGTAAGCCAAGAAATTGTGCTCATTTGTTAGTAATTCTTATATAAATAGGTTGAAAATGAAAGTTATTTTGTAAATTTCATTGAACATGGCTTGCCTGAGTGATGATCAACTCAGTTTATACACTGTATGAATAAGAAGGAAAACAGTTTAAGAGGCCAAATGCTAATCCTGCCAGAAAACTACAGGATATTATTATCATTTTATTATTTCCAATTACTATGATATGATATATACAACAAAATATAAACTCAGAGTGGACACACTTCTGGAAAAGAAAATTATTAGATCTCTGGGGAGAACATTATCACCTTATAAGAATTACATATATTTAATTAAAACCCCCCTCAGGTTGATACTTAAATGACATAACAATATTTTTTCAGTGCACATTAAAAATGGGCATCTAACTTTTTTGTAGAACAAAAGGCAATATTCATGTCTATGAAATGTCTACTATATATTCCACCTGTGGGAAAATTTAACAGAATATTAAATATCTTTACTCAAATCCAAAGAACTCTATACTCAGAGTGGAATATTTTGCAGCTCTCTGCTCACCTAGTCTACATACATTTTTAGAAACTCTTAGCAGAGACATATTTTAGAATCCCTGGGATTATAGAGAACTGAAGCTTTCTTATTTACTGGAAAAGCCCTGGCACATATGGCACTCAGCAAATCATTGCTAAATTGCATACAGTATTTTACAACACAAAAAAATCCTTTCTTTTCAATTTGAAAAGATGTTTTAACTCTTTTAAGACATTTAAAAACATTTAGGGAAAATCTCTGACCAATTCTTTCCAGAAACAATTATAAATATTTCTTACTTTTTCTATTTAGACCAAAGGTATTTAACAATGAAGTATGCATAAAATAAACTTCCTAGTAATAATCTAAAACTGGAAATTTTAGATAATACCCTAACTAAAATAGTTCTTTAAAAGGGTCTTGGCTAAGATATCTAATGAAAGTCATGGCTAATATGTTAGAACCTTCTTCTAAAGAATTACAGCATTTTAATGTGTAAGATATATGGGCTTAGTAAATGAGAGACAATCACTTGTATAAAGTAAATATAATGGTCATTACAATAGTAATAAAGTTGTCTTTATTTGGAAGTTGTCTCTTTTAGTCTATTCTGTAAATCCTGAAAACTCAGAAAATCTGGGTCAGGTACCCCTTTCTCTATCCTTCTCAATAAAGCTAAGCTTATGCTGATCAAATAATTTATCACACTGTTCTGCAGTGACTTGATTACTTGTCAAGTCTGTCCCACTTGGCAGGCAGGCATAGTGCCTTGTTTACTGTGGGATGCCCAGAGCCTGTTATAGCACCTGGAATGCAACAGCTGTTCCAGGAGTATCTGTTAAGTAAATGAGTGACTGACTCATGAGATGAGGGTCTATTTAAAATATTTAACATTGCTTTGAATCAAGGGATTAGGTACAATTTGATCACATGCTTCTGTCTGGAACATAACGAAATACACATACATGTGTACATGCACGCACCTAAGTGTGCACATGCACACACACACAGAGAACCTTCTGTGGTGAATAGACACAGCACTGAGAAGGAGGAAGGAACTCCTCACTTGGACTAAGAAAGAAGTATTTATATGAAAGGTAATCAATGTCTTAGCATTGAAGATTTTACCAAAAAACACTCAGTTGGAAAAAAAAATCTTATCCAACAAAGTTTATCTACAATGAAATAATAACGATATTTGAAATTTCATTCAATAATTTAATTATGATGTGTGCATTGTGTACACATATAATTGTGTATATAAAATTTTAAACAATTCAATTTTTCCCTAAAAAATTGGCTTTGTTCCTTTAAACAGAACATAATTAATTTACCTTGGAGCCAATGTTTTTAAAAATGATTGGCTATATCTCCAAATATCGGCATCTACATCAAGATATACAATCTGTTACCATATACATAAGAGAAAATGGATGAAAAAAAAAAACCAAATAAGAAAGAAATGCTTTAATCACAAACATATTTTACTCTAACGTTGGGTGCATTAACCATATAAAGATGACAATTCGCCTGGCTGGAACAAGTGAATATTTTGACACAGAAAGCTCACTACCTCTACTATTCTATCTCCAGGTTTCAAGGTTCCATTTTTGCCAGCTGGACTATCTTCAAGAACATGTTTGATGAAAATGCCCCTCATCACTTCACCATTGCTTAGACGACTCCCCATCCCTCGTCCACCAACAATGCTGATGCCCAAGGATTTGCTTGGTTCTCTCCAAAGTTCAACCCTATAAAAAGAAATAAAATTGTAAACTCTTATAAGAAAACATAGGAGAAGAGCTTCATGATATTAGATTTGGCAATGATTCCTTATACATAACACCAAAGTTATAGACAACAAAAGAAAAAATAGACAAACAGGACTTCCTCAAAATTAAAACCTTTTGTTCATCAAAGGACACTATCGATAGAGTAAAAAGGCAACCCACAGAAGGGAAAAAAAACATTTGCTAATCACATATCTGACAAGGGATTAATATCCAGAATATGTAGAGAACTCCTTAAACTCAACAACAAAATAAAAGACATATAAATGGCCCATAAGCACACAAAAAGATGCTTAACATCATTAATCATTAGGAAAATACAAATCAAAACCACAATAAGATACTATTTCACATCCATTAGGACAGCTACTACAAAAAAAAAACAAAAACAGAAATAGTAAGTATTGGCAAGGATGTAGAGAAATTGAAACCTTTGTGCACTGTTGGTAGAAATGTAAAATGGTGCTGCTATGGAAAATAGTATATAAGTTCCTAAAAAGATTAAAAATAGAATTATCATGTAATTCAGAAATTCCACTTTTGGGTATAAACTCAAAAAAATTTAAAGCAGGGTATCAAAGAGATATTTGTACACCCATGTTCATAAAAGCATTATTCACAATAACAAAGAGGTGGCAGCAACTCAAGTGTCTGTCAACAAATGAATGGATAAGCAAAATAGCATACACATATAACAGAATATTATTCAGCCTTAAAAAGGAAGGAAATTCTGAAACATGCTACAATACGGATAAATCTCGAGGACATTATGCTAAATGAAATAAGCCAGCTAAGTGAAATAAAGGTCAAATGCCGTATGATTCCACTCATATCGTGTACCCACAGTGGTCAAATTCACAGAGACAGAAAGTACAGTGGAGTGGTAGTCACCAGAGGCTGGGAGGTGAGAAGAATGAGGATTTATAATTAATGGGAAGAGAGCTTTAGTTTTGTAAGATGAAAGAAGGTCTGTAGATGGATGGTGGTAATGGTTGCAGAGCAAAGTGAATGTAATTAATACTGTTGAACTGTACACTGCAACTATTTAAAATGGTTTAAAATAATAGTAAATATCATTTAGTAATGTTATATATGTAATAGAATATAGTACATATAGTATATAGTAAATGTTATATATGTTAATTTTTAGAAATATTATTTGCTCAATTTATTAAAGTCTTATTAGTAATAAAACAATATAGCTTTAGATACTTCCAACTATGTATTTCTGAAGATGATTTGTTATAAGTAAATACCAGACTCACATTCCAGGCTATGGCACATACCAATGTAAAAGTATCATTTTGCAGAAACTTTAATATTACAGACATTAAGTAAGCAAGAGATTCAGCTACCACTGAACAGATGGTAGCTTCTAAGCTTAGCAACCAAATTAAGGGGAAGAACACTCCTGCGCACACTATGTCAGAAGCTTGCCTCTGTAGAAGTCTTTCTTGCCAAGGCAAACCAGGTTACTAACATTAAGGGCATGAAGATCAGTGGCTGACAAACTCTTGCATGATCTGATCCCACCATTACCTCCCTAGACTCTTCTCCCGTGGCTCTGAACTTTCTCCATTCCGGCCACTATAGCATTTCCTTGCCTTTCCTTAAGTTCCTCTAGCATTCTCCTGCCTTGGAGACTTGGCACTTGCTACTTCCTCTGCCTTAACTGTGTATCCCATACCAACAAAATAAATACATGAACTCATTTGTAATAATTGGAAATAGCTATAAGAGCTATGAATGAATTTAGAGTACACATCTTGTGAAAACGTGGGGGTATAAGAATAAGGTGATTTGTAGTGAGGTGTTTGGCCAAGGTGCTCAGGGTGTTGGAGGAAAACATACCAGACAGAGCTTTAAGGAAATGATGAGATCCTACAATCTGCTCCATGCTGCGCAAAGGAAAACAATGTTGGACACTGAGTAGGAGAATACAGCATGGTCAAATAATACCCTCAACATTGACACGTGCGGTTCCAGAGGAGAGGAAAGGCTGAAGTTGGGACTCCCGTGAAATGAAGGCGGTCCTGGTAAGAAAAGGCTGGAGAATAAGAAGTACCAAAGAGAGAGGGAATGGATGGGCAACAGGTCAAATGAAAGCAGATGCTGAGACACATCATTCTTCAGTCAGTACTTTTTCTTCAGTGGAATTCTGTAATCCTAGAAACTCTACTTGTTTAGCTTAAAAGGATCTTACCATGACTCTGGATCTTATAAAGTCTTTGTGATCAAACTAGTTAAAATCCTCTTCATTGTTTTCTCTTACTCTAAGAATGCTGTGAAAGAAAAGAACCAATATCCTTCCCTGTTTCTTAAAGCAGTTAGGTAAACTGGCAAAGTAAAGCAATCAGGAATTTTAGCCATTGTATGTACCTATTTAAGGATCTAGAATACATAGCTAAGGCTCCTTAACTCTCCTCTTTAAAAAAAAGTGAAAAAAAAAAGGCTCCTAGGGCCCTTTGTGGTTGCTGTAAATTAGAAAGTGATTCTTTACTTGAGTGATACAAAAAACCCCTGCAGTAGCAGCAAATATTAATTAAGGGCTTATCATGTGCTCAGCATTATTCTCTAAGTGAGTTACATGTACTTTCGTTTAACTTCACATCTTCCCTACGAAGTGAATACTCTTATTAGCCCATTGTCCATAGGAAAAAGCACAGGGAGGTTAAGTAACCTTTGGGTAACAGCATCATATGCTTTCATAGAGTTTGGGACAGGGAGCAAAATTCTTCAACCACTCTCCCTAGAAGTAAATGCTGTAAATCCTTAAAACAGTGGAGAAGATAACCAAAGATAGAGTTGCAAAAATGACCACAGGCACGAGGAGCCAGAGTCAATATTCATGGAACACAGTATATATCCATGGGGAAGGAAAAGTAGACCTAGAAAAGAAATAACTCACAGAACATGTTTACTTCAGAGCTAGTTACACAGAAAAAAATGGCAGCTTTTCTTGAGATTTATAAGAATGAAATTCAGAAAGGGAAAGGAAAAACACAGCTCTGAGGCCAGATTGACTAAGCAGTAAACTGAGTCCCTGGGTTCAAGTCCTGCTCTTATGCTACTTAATAATTATGTGACACTGGGCATCTTAGTCTCTGTCTTATTTTCCTCAGCTGTGAAATGGAGCCAATTAGAGACTCTACATCAGAGTTTCTGTGAGGATTAATTATATTAATATATCTAACGTGTAAAACAAAAGCTTTGTCACATAATAATAAATCTTTTGGTATGATGAGAACGATGAGTATGATTACTGCAGTAATGAAAGCAAGATATGAAATTCAATCCATATAACAAATAAGCAAATGTGTACCATATTTCATCAATCCTGATATACTCCTAACCATGTTTATTAAGACAAGGTAGTGTCCCCTAAAAGTAGCTTTAGTGCTTCCATAAAAGTGCTACATTAGTGAGTACAGAATACTTTATTTAGAAGTATTTATGGAAGCTTCAGACATTTTCTCTATGCAAGGTAATTACCACCTTTAGAGATATCTTAGACTAATGTGAAGGTTAAAATTGAGGAGAGAAGCATAAAAATCTTCCAGTCCTGAAGTTATGCTCTTCTTTCACATATGAAAATTTCATAATTTCCTGTGCTCAATGCTTTCTCTTTGCTCAGTTATTAGTGACCAATATTATATCATTATATTAATAGAACAAGGCCAACCACTAATGGGGTATTCACTATGTGCCAGGTATTATGGTAAGGATTTTACATGCCTTATCATAATTAATTCTCCCCCAATTTAAAAGGTTCTATTATTATTAAAAGATTCTATTTAAAACCCCATTTTGCAGATGAAGCAGCTGAGACCTAGCAGAGATTATGAAGCTTGTTTTAGGAAGTGTCAAAGCTAGAATTCAAATGTGGCTCTTATTGACTCCAACTATTTCGTATAGTGCCTTCTAAAAACTATTATACTTTTCATCTCATAATTTTGTTATTAAAACTGACCAACCTATCTTTTTTTTTTCTGTGATTACTGTCCTCCAACAAATTTCAAGTTTATCACTATGACCACCTGCTACAAAACAGTTTTATCTAACTTATTTCTACCCCTATTGATTTTTTTAAGCAAATTAAATGACTTTTGAAGAAATTCAAATCAAAATTTTATTTTATTAATAGATGGCTGGAAATGCTTACTGTTTCTTTGAAAGCAACATAAAATGATGTTTTTGGTATTTTGAAAATATTTAAATGTGATGGCCACAGGCTTAAGTTCATTTCTTAGCAGGGAAAAATCATTAAATTGTATCCCATCTCTGACTAGTAGAAACTCTTCTCTTGAGCATTTTATTTACTCACCATATAACAAATACTAATGATTACTAAGCACAAGGCAGGCACCATGATGATGGTTACCTTTAGCTCTGTTTGGAGGGAATATTCAATGATGGTTACTTAACATTTTACACTTAAAGCAAAATATCTTGTATTGTTCTTTCATTATTTCATGTGTCTCTACATCTTGCCCAGCCAAGCACATTCGAACTTCCCTGAAGGCAGGATTTATGTTTTATATTTACTTCCCTATTTTCACAAAATCACTGGCTACAAGTCTGGTTCCATAATCAAGACTCAATAAATTCTTATTAAACTGAAGGTAACTTAGCAAGAATATGTCTATATCTTAGTAATGCACAATAATATATCTGAGTTTATTTAGAAAAATCACCTCTCTATTATATGTGAGACTGGTGCTAGACAGACATGCCTTAGGATAAACTCAGCCTGTGTAATAACAAGGCTGTTTACTTTCACACACACACACACACACACACACACACACACTTCAAATACATATGTTTGAATATCTAGTTTCTACAAATGCTAGATAAAATTTAAATGAGCATTTGGTGTTATACCTAGTATCCAATTCTATAGAATGTATTATCCATTACAACTACATACACATAATTTTATCTAGTTAATTTTATTTAGTCCCTATTATGTGCCAGATCTTCACATAGGTGTTAGTTTTAACCCTGTGTGATACACATTATCTTCTCCAGTGTATACATGAAGAAATGAACGGTTAGAAATAGTACACAACTTGCCCAATGTGACAAGTAGCAAGCTGTAATCCAGTACTTGAAACCAAACCTTCCTATCTTTAAACACTATATAGCCACTGAGTGGGCAGAATACAGAAATAGTCCTTACCGCCTGGGCTGATTCCAATTGCTGTATGCTGCATTCTGAAGTTCACTTTCTTCGCCTTCTCCTTCTTCTCGCTCTGGTAACTCTGGAATGTCTCTGTTTAAAGAGTTATACAATGAGTACTCCAAAACCCTAGTAAAATCACGCAAGGTTGTCTTATACATGCTTTATTGTTGGTTCAACTAAAAATGCAGAACTGCTTTATATTTTCACCATATCTGGCCAATAAGTATTATCTATAACATTTTTATAGCAGGGGGATAAGAAAACCTGACAAAAGCAAAGTAAAAACTTTACATTAGAATCAATCTACCATAACTTAGTCTGGCTATATAGCTGAATAGTCTTGTCTAGTCTGTTTCTTTCCTGATGAAACATGGGAAAACAAAAGAGAGGAATAGGAAGAAGGACACAAATACCAAAATTTTAAAGAAAAACTCTTCAATAAGTATTTCTTAAATTCCTACCATGTACGAGAATCTGCTTAGAGGCACCATGTGGACTGTAAGCATGCACAGCCCTGATCCCTGACCTGAAGGAATGTCTCATCAAGTATGACAGGAATTTACCATTTCGGCTTTCTAATAATAGACCAATACTTTCCCTTCAACTTTGGGGAAAAAAAGTGGAAAATGCTTATGGTCTAGCTTCAACCTATCGAGAGGATTGGATACAGAATACTTCTTACAGGAATCAGTTTACCATGCACTTGTGTTCAAGGTTACTTTTCAATTTCCATAGCAATTCAGATTTTGCCAAACGCGAAGCATATAGCAAAATATGTCCAGTCCTTTGACCATAAATAAAACTACAACTATATCAAGAAATATTTTGTTTTTCCAATGGCATACTTTGCATCAATAAATGACATTATAAGGACAATAGAGAACAGTTGAATCGATTACAGTGTGTCCTTATGTTGTTACTAAAAATTAGATTCCTAAATAAACATGTCCACATATTCCTTTTAAAGTAGAGAAGACAATAAAAATTATAATTCAATAAATGTTTTCAGTTGATTTTTATAGAAATGAAAAATCTAAAGAAAGTATATATTCAAATTATAGCCATTCTTCACTGAGAGAAATACTAAACTATCTCAAATTATATAATCTTCGGAGTTTGAGATCAGAACTCATGTAATCCAATAATCCATCTGTGCTTGAATGTGCTTCACAACATTCTGGCAAGCAGCTGTCCAGGCTCTCCTTGAATGTCTCATTCTTTCTTTGGCCTCAATGATAAATTTGTTGGTAAACCCTTACAATGAAATTTAATAGGTCTTACTCATCAGTTTTATGTTTGAATTCCCCTCCTGTGAAAATTAAAGAATAAGGCTCTAAATAAGGTTGGCATTTCTAGAGTCTGAGCCTGAGGGTAGGGCAGAACAATTGAGAAGAGACCCGAGAGAGCTTCTAAAAATGATGTCAAGGAATTGACTGAGAAACAGACAGTCCAAGTAAAGTCCTCATCCAGAAGATGCAAAGGAGAGGAATGAAAACTAGGTCTAATCCTCTAGAAATACAACTAAAGAGAATATGATAGAAAAAGCAGATTTGGCAGATAGACAAGAATGAGAATGATAGAAAGTGTCCCAAAATATTAATATATAGTGACAGCCATGAGATGAGGGGAGGAAGTTCTTAGCCCTATAGCCTAAGCTATAGGAGGTACTCAGAAACATTCTTTTGCCATGCTGCATGATGCTTCTGCCTTTTTAGCTATAAGAAGATAAATATCCTGAATCGTCTCATATAAGAACCCCAATGTCTTGAAATGATTCTATAATCTCGAATCTTTTCACTAACCCAACATGCTGTCCTCCTCTACCTGTGCTGCTGTTTATCCATTTTAGAGTGTGGTTTAGGGACTCAAGTGTCATGTCCTTCTGTACTCACTCAGCCAAAAAATAAAAAGACTTCTGTTTCTGTGCTCCTGTTACCCTGTCTGTTGCATACCAATAAAATTTCTATCAACTATAATAACTAACTCTTTATATTTGTATATAGGTTCCAGGTAAAGTGCCTGGCACAAAGACATATAATAATGTAGTAGAGCTGAGATCTGAATTGAGGCCATCACACCACGAAAGTTCCCTGCTACATTGCCATGTATTTTTATGTGGCACATGTTTTATAGACTTGTGCAATCTTTCTTTGGATCCAATGGTTAAGAACATGAAGTCTAACTGCTTATATTCTACACTTGGCTCTGACATTTATTAGCTGTGAGACTTGGGCAAGGTACTTAACCTCTCTCTCCTGCAGATTCTTTTTCTGTAAAATGCAGATCCTTTTGTTCTGTTTTAAGCACCTGGATATCAGTAGCAAATACACTTTATCTGCAGTGACACAGCTAGTCACAGCATGGGTCAATCCAGGCCATTCTCTTTTTTGTGCTGGGGGTGGAAGCACAATGCTCAAAATGGCTTTTGTTCTAATAACTTTTGAGTATTTTAAAGCTCCAGAACTTAATAGGACTAAGATATTACCTGTTATATTCTTTAAGCCATTTGAAACAATATTTCAGAAGGACACGGAAACGACTATTTTTTATCATTTTGATAAGAAGTACGGGGAAACTATAATCAATTCATGCCATCAACCCTGAGATAGAAATCCTGGAGTATAGTGTGTCTGAGCTTTGTAAAAGGTGGAGTGAATACAGTTGCCCCCCTCAAACCCTCCTATCTGTGGGTTCCACATCCTTCACCAACTATAGATGAAAAATATTTGGGAAAAAAATGGATGGCTGCATCTGTATTGAACATGTATAGAATTTTTTTTCTTGTCATTATTCCCTAAACAATACAGTATAACAACTATTTTCATAGTCTTTACATTGTATTAGGTATTATAAGTAGTCTAGGGATGATAGATAGTATACGGGAGGATGTGCATAGGTTATATGCAAATAATATGCCATTTTATATAAGAGACTTGAGCATCTGTGGATTTTGGTATCCTCAGGGGTCCTAGAACCAATCCCCAATGGAGAATGAGGGATGATTATACTCTTTTTCCCATAAAATTCATGAGGCCCTCAAGAACTGTGACATTCCTTTGCTTTATTAAACACCTAACATACCTTCCCCTTCTCTAACACTTTCTGTGTACTGCACTCATGTATAGTTTACAGAGGAAACAGTGATGTAATATCATGATTAATACAGGGTCACTGAACACGAGGGTGCTCTGGGATGTTCTAACATCATCTAAAGAATGGTAGAACTCTTCTGAGAAGACCTCCAAATGCTTGCAAGGCCATTTCTTCTATATTGTATGCTTAAAGAGAAATGTGTTTCTCAGTTACCAGTGCCAAGTGAAAAAAACAGGCCAAAACTGAAAGTACAAAATGGTACATTCTTCATGGAAAATCAAATTGACATTATTTCTTTCCCTGCTCTGAACTCAGTCAGCAGCAGCATTAAAGCCCAGTTCTTGCCTTTCCTGGCAGTGGGGTGGAGAATAACCTTTCCCTTTATTATTTAAGGGTTTTTAATATATTGTATATTAGAAGCCTTTAAAAAGTTTTCTAACACGCATATTTGCCATCAGCAACAATCTCCATAAGAACAAAAATAAGTATTAAAAAATATTTCTGGATTTGTATGTATGTTAATAAAGGAATAAATAACATTTCTGAAGATACATGATAATATTTAAAAAACGGAAAAACATTATACAAAACCATAAAAATTGTAGAATTGTAGGTTCCAAGAAAATAATAAAATCATATTTATCTACAAATGAATTATCAGAATTTAATATGTTGAAAGTACTAGGCTGGATGGTAGAATCAATTAATTCCTTGACTTGAATATTTATATATTTCTGAAAATTTCCATATTATATAATATGTAATTGGGAGAAAGTGAAGAATATGTTTTTAAACTTTGTAAGAGAGAAAGGAATTCAGACTTTTTCTTTGCTGTAGTCCTCTCTGACTCTGTATTCAAAATTCCTCTTTATAACCTGCTATATTTTTCATTCATTGTAATTGACTTAATGTTTCACTTACCTGCCAGTGTATGAAGAAAAAATGTCCAGTGCCATTATTCCTCCAGACTGTTGTTCCAAGTTCATTTTGAACTCTTCCAAATGTTCTGCAGGCACATAAGTAATTCTGGAATAAAACACAATCCATGAAAGCAAAGGGAAACAAAGTTTTGCCTGTTAGGAAAGCTTCTCAAATACAGAAAAAAAGATTTTATTTTTCCTTCATCCCTACTTTTTCACACATCTCTTTTAATCAGCATACTCAGAGAATCCAAACTTCAAAATCGTAAAGTATTCTATAGGCAAGAATAACAATAGAAATTCATTTTTAAATGCTGCTGATAAACTACTATGTGTTTACCAATAAGCATATGGGGGAGAAAAGCAGTATTATTTATTCTTCCAAGTCAGAAGGATAACAGCAATTTTTTGAAGAAGACCTACAAATCCTTGGCATAATAATTGTCAGTAATAATGTCAATTTTGCCCAAAGAAGTTTGGGGTCCCTAGTAGAAACAAAGTAGGTATACTCTATTAAAACACTGAATATCACAAATTACTTTCCATAATATATAATTAATTATCTACATTAATAAGAATTATCAATAATTATATTAGCTTTATTAAAGTTATGAACTCTTAAGTCTGAAGTAGAATTTAAACCATTTAAGTTTACAGAAAGATTCTTACTAATTTATAGTAATTTCTTATAAATTTACTTGGTTTCAAAGAAAAGCCTGCTGTTAAACTTGCATGGCCATTTACTAATTGAACAAGTACTGACTAAATACCTATTACATGGAAGACACCATGCTAGATGCTGACTACTGTTGTAATGATTAGAAACTGACAATTGAAAATTCAAGTTTATTGCTGTCCTATAAGACTATTTACATATACTTTTAAGTAAGTTGTTCCAAGATCCTTAAATTAATCAATAGAAAGGTAAGAGAAATACTGTATCTAAGGTCAATACATGATATTTGTAAAACTAAAAAAAAGTATGTACAAAATATGCATGGTATAGAAATCATGAAGACTAGTAAACCATCTATTCATAATTTATCAGTTAAGACAATAAGTATATAAAATCTCAGTACTGAATGGCAAGGATAAAATGATTGTCTTTTATGTTTTAATAAAATAAAATTTATACTAATTATATAATTTATTGAGAAGGATGTATAATTTCAGATATATTGGTTATTCCATAGAAAGTATTCACTCTTTCATTTCCCCAATGTATGAGGTCACTTATGTTTAGAGTCAGAAAAAACAGTTATATTTTACAAAACAAAAAATACAGATAAATATAAAACCTAGAATCTTAAAAGACTATTCAGGAAAACTGGTTCTATTTAAAAAATCAGGAAAAGGAGAGTGGGGCAAAAGGCAGAACATAATAACAAAAATAATAATCAGTACAAAGTATTTAATTTTAAAATTGGTTTGAGAAGGTAAAGATGTTTCTATCACAAAGAATGCTGAAAATGAGTTTTCCTCTATATTTGTTCAAAGCTGTTTTTCTTTTACCAAAGGGTAGAGAGTGAAGAGTTTTACAAATATGCTTCTGATACTTTGGGTAGCAGTGGTAAAGAGCAAAGGAGGCAGTTTTCATACATATTTAGCCCGATGTAGACAGTAAGGTCACCAGAACAAGCATCCCACAATGCAATCGCATATGCAGTTCAATTCTAACACATGTGTGGTCACACAACCACACAAAACCTCCAAACTGCCAACAAAAAATTCCAAACCTGAATTACGAACTGCAACACACTGAAGTAGTTTATTTGAGAACTGTACTAAACATTCTTAAATGTAAACTAATCTTTAGTTACACAAAGAGTAGAAGAAAAAAGAATACCATTTATGATGTCGAAATGTGATATGGCTATTAATGCAGAGACTGAGCCTCCACATGCAGACAAGATCATTCCCTTACAAAGGAGCTTGAAAGCTCAGTAGTAGGAAAATATGATTTTCAAATGATTGCACAATAATCAGTGCAATATGAAAATGTAACAATCTCATAGCTTTATTGGAATTTATGTTCTTATATAAATGAAGAAAACAAGCCAAAATGTATACACTGAATTTTTATCTGGATCTATCCCTGCACTGGGACACTACAAAAGCACAAAATGGTTTTCACAGACAAGTTGTAACACACAGCCATAATGAGCTTTTGAATCACCGATACTCACACATAAAAGGGGGCTCGATCATCGGCAGGTGCTGCAGAAAATCTAGAATGTGAAGCATACGCCGCAGCATCTTTTTACAATGGTGTTAACAAATGTCAATGTCTTGTGCTGAATGTGAGATGCATACATATGTAGTTAAAAGTGGGTGCTCCTGGTTGATTTTTTTTCCCCTTTCCACCTCCCTCCCGTCTACACCTCCCCCAGAAAAGCATCTGCTCTTTACTGGTGTCTATAGCAGTGATTATTAACAAGCATGGAAAAATGTAACTGCAATCAATCCTTTATTCCTTGATCAGGAATTCATCCCACACTTTAGGTTAAGGCAGGTGAATTCTGATTCAGCTCGGTAATTATCTGGCAGATGTTATAAGCAGCTGCTGCTAGGCGTAAAACCCTGGCTATTATTACAGAAATATAAGAGCTCCTGGCAAGGTGGAGTGAGAAGTGAAACAGAATGCATTCTGGTGAGGCTTCACATCTGGTTTTCCATAGAAAATAATGAAACCTGGAACTTAAACTAGCTGTTCTTGAACTCTTGAAACTCAAATTATCTACCCAGGCATGCATGAACACACACACACACACAAAAGTTCTTTGCTATCTATCATAAATAGCAAAAAAGAAATCAGTGCATTTTCTCAATAAGCAATGCTTTTCCTAAAACCAATCACTTATGTAACTGAACCAGAGTCTTTTTATTAAGTCCCAATAATATACCTTTCTACCAACACCCAGATTAAGCTAGGTTCATAACAAAAAATAAAAAAGAAAGAGATGTGGATGGAGCCTAGATCCAGGTAATGAGTATAAAGCTTAAAGGGCCAGAGGCAGTGCTATGGTTCAATTCAGAATAATGGAAAGACTGGACTTCCCTTTTGGGATCATTACTCACATAGCTTTCAAAGTAATTCTAAACCTTTTGTTTCATTCATGTGGCAAGTTTCATGCATTCATCAGGCAAGTGATGGAAAGGGGACAGGGCCAAAAATACTTCATGCAAAATACACAGAACATGCTGCTCAGCCCTGGCCAATTTCAATGGCTGACTATTTGTGTTTTATCACCTAACATTTTTTTTTCTAAAAAAGAACTATGTAAGGATGATTTTAAGTTCTTTCTATCTTTCCCTCAATGAGTCAAGCTATAATTATCTGAATAAGAACATTAGTAGAAGATTTGAGAAGAAATCAACGTGTTTGTTGACTGAGAGTGTGTATGTGTGCGTGCAGATGCCTGTGAGAAAGAGATTGACCGGTTGACTGATTTCTGGAGGAGGGAAGGTTGTAGGATTTTTCTTCTTTTTTTTAAATGTAAGATTGTATAGAACATTTTGCCTCCTAAGAACATAAAACAATTACTTACGAAGCTAACTCTCTAGATGGCCTTTATAGTCACCATAAAGCTGCTGCCTGCATGACTGGGTAAATTCTGCTGAATCAGCAAGCAAAGGGGAAAACACACACACAAAATAAAAAAAAATGAGGAAAGGGAAAAAAAACACTTTTTGAGCTTGAAAATCTACTTCAAAACTTTTCTTGAGTTAACTAGATGCATGAATTATACCAAATTGTTGTCACAATGGTCTTATTTTTTGACCACTTTTAAAATCATATTTATCTACAGTACATATGTATCTATAGTACATTAGAACTAAGTGGTAAGGCTAACACCAAGCATCAGTTCTGGTGATCAGAGTGCCAAAGAGTTGGCATGGGACCTGTATCAGTGCACAGAGCAGAACACATACATCATGACACAATAAATATCAGTTACTAGGCCATCTACATTTTATACCACATCTAATCTATATAAACTAAAATACATAAATATATAAGCTCCATGTGGATCTATATCATTTATCTTTTAAGCAAAAGGAAGGAACACTGGCCACAAGTGGTGAGGAATACGAATAAAGTTTCTCTTTTTCTCGTAGTAGAAAGACTGATTTATCTTTAATGACGTTCACTTGTACTCAAATTATTACTAGACAATTAAGGAACAGTAACATGATCTGATGATCTCCTCAAATATAAAAGTCAAAAAGGCATTCGAAAATATGAAAGCTCATTAGTGAAAATTCTTCCTAAAAATAATACTTCTTTTATGTAACACAGCAGAATCCACTCCAAATGGCATATACTTTTCTGCTTTTTACTGACGGCAGAATGAAAAACAGATTGTAAATATAGCTTTTGTTACCTTAGTTCTAGCAATAGTTTGCAAAAGAACCAGTAATATAGAATGCAGTTAGTAAAATAACATTAATATAAAAAGTCTCCCAAGCTAGTAATCATTAGATCAATTTAAAGTAAACAATTTTTCCCTGAACTCTTATTTTATGATTTTATCCCTCAAATATTAAATTCAAATATTCAATGGTTAATGCTAGAAGAAAAAGCCATATTGATGAGGTGTGACAATAAAGTCATGAACTGATTTTTATGTTGGCCCAAGGAATATTTAGTGACTTAAAAACCAAACCACATATATGATGTGCTTTTAGTACATTATGAGATTATGGGAAATTTTAAGTACTTCCCTACAAAATATCTGACATATTTTGTCAGACTATACCATAATCAGACTATACCAACATATTAGTGAATCCCCTCAGGTCAAGAGGTAGTTCAACAAAGGGTAAGCTATAGTTCAGACAAGTACAGTTCTATATGGTCTTTCTCATGCCTGGCCCCTAAAGAGCTGGTTTGGTTCCAGGATTCAAAAAGGGCAATAAGGTACTGTACAATGTCTTATATTAAGGCCAATACAAACTTCTTTCTAAGATCCTAAGAGTGGACCTTCATGCTACGTGAAAGCCATATCACCTTTCACATGCAGGGTTGTTATAGAAATCACCAGAGAAGTAAAATTAAAAACACAAAGCAACATGTTTTCAAAACTTCAACATTGTTATAGTCTTAAAGAGAGTATATTTACAATCAAGAACTATTCAAAAGAAATCTCTTGAGAGTGATTTATATTAAATAAATATGTGATAACTTTTATATCTCAAACAGAAGTATATACTAAAAAAATATTCTGATAAACTGATTGAATTTCCTGAATTTATCAAGTCAAACTGGGATCCAAATGATACTTACTTTATGTCAGGCCCAATGAGTGAATGTCTCCTCAACATAGCTCGTGCCTGGGCATTGGTTAAACTGATGGTGGATTCTTCATTAATGGACAAGATGCAGTCTCCAACCGCAATCCGGCCATCTCGACTAATGGCACCACCATGAATAATGCTTCGAACAATCATCCCCAAGCCATCTTTATTAGCACTTACTGTCATCCCTATAGGAGAAGAAAAATGCAGATACGTATTAAATATAGGATTTTCAAATTCACTTTAATTTTAATTTAATAGTCCCTATGGAGTTGTAGATAAAACATAGGAATAACATTTTTAGCCAATAAAAAACAGCAGGAAAAAAGGAAAAAGTATTTCTAACATAAATATTTTAAGTCAATTTAAAAATGTTTGTGAAATTGTATATGGATAAAAATACTCCATGTTAAATACATTAGAGATGAAACAGGTCTACACTGTGGAATTAATGTAATTTGGTCCATTTGATATGTTGCTTCTTTGATGTGACAGTGCCAAATTAATTTATTCTATAATAGCAGGTCATCTCTTATACATGAAATAGAATTAAGACAGGACTACAAATGGAAAATCAGTTCTATAAATTAAGAAATTCTCTGCTTTAACCTTGTTTCTAGATCATTTGCTCATTCAGAATCTATTTACTATAAGATTACAATGTGCTAAGTACTATGCTGTTTGCTTAAAATAAAAAAGCATAGCATAGAATTCCTAGCATCAAGAAGCTTATATTCAAGTCTTAATATCCAGAGCCTATCACAGTGACTGCAGGTATAGTAGTTTGTTGAACTGAACTGATATGAATTTCATTTTAATCTATCCCCATTTCATCTCTGAACTTCTTGAGCTCCCAAATTTGGATATTTAATTGTCCTCTTGACATGTTCCCTGGATGTCTCACAGGAAATGCAACCTTAGAATGTATAAAATGAACTTGCAATTTTTCACCTCCTCTTATTTCTCCATTTTTCTTTCCCCTTTTGGCAAATGGAACTATCACACCTCTCTCCATTATTCAAAGCAGAAATATTGAAGTCATTCTTGATTCCTACCTCTCTCTTACTTCTTAAGCTTAATCCAACACCAAGTCCTGTCATTTCTATGTTCAAAATTTGTCTTCAATCCATTTACCTTTCTCCATTTTGATACCAACCCAAGATCAAGCCAATCCTTTCTCTTGTCTGACTTTTGGCAACAGCCTCCTAACTGGTCATCTGCCTTCCAACATTGTCTCCTTCAATGCATTCTTCTCACAGCAGACAGAGACCATTCCAAAAAGACACATCACACTCCGACAATCCCTTCAGCAGTTTGGTTGCAACCCTTCAGCAGTTTCCTGTTATGCTAATATATAACAAACTTGCTTGGCAAAGTCTACAGAGCACTGGTGCCCTGGCCCTCCCAACATGTACCCTTTTCTTGTGTCATGTCCTCCTTGGCTCTCTGAGTTCCAGCCACAACAGCTTTCTTTCAGAAATACATCTAGTTTTTCCCCATTTTCAAATCTTTGCCTGATACCCTCTTTCTCTCTCTGGCACAGCTAACTCCCGCTCACTCTTCAACATCACTTTCTTAAAAAGGCCTTCTCCACAGACTCTATCTGCATTAATGTACCCTTTATACCCTTCCCTCACCCTATTCCTTCAAAAATAAAAAATCTTTGAAATTATGTTTAAAACTTTGCAAAAATAACATAAGTTCACTTAAAACAAAGTACGAAAAGTTTCCTCCAAAATAGGATTATAAAATTAAAGATAAGGTGAGATATAAAGCTATCAGGGAATTTACAAAAACTTTCTTTGAAAGAAGTCACAAATTCCTTTATAGGCTTATATGTATTTTTTAAAAATAAAATCTTTCCAAATATTAATTCTGAGCATACCAAATTAGATATGATATTTCAAACACTTTAAAGAAAAATTCTGATTATGTTTCCAGCCTAATATTTCATACTTGGAAATGGGCAATCCAGTCTCCTAGTTATTGTTTTCTGATAGAAGTAAACATTATCAAATGTACTTAAAATATTCTGTTAAGACTCATATTAATATTCATTCTATTAATAATACTAGTGATTTTTAAATTATTAAGACAACTCTGTTTACCATAAAACAAGACAGGTGGGTTTCTTATAAGAAAAGAGGCTGGCTCTGAAATGTTTAAAAAAGTACTCTAGTTGGTCCTCATACAGCCACCCTTCCCTTCAAAACCCACCAAAAAACTGTACTATTAAAATAAAAATATGTGACCACAAAACAAAATTTAACTCAGCCTATCACACTGGGAGTCTAACTTGTCACCTTGTTCTCCTTAGCACCACACAAGTCTACACTAAAACAAGTCACAGGCATGAAACAAGTCATTGTGAGCTATGGTCAACATGACCTCGGAATTCACTTTTAATAGCATATTTAATTCACAAATCTATCAGTTATTAAGGCTGTCAGGTCATGTCAACCATATAAACCAAGAGGTTGACATCAGTGAGTCCAGCTTGTAACTTTCCTTTCACCAAATGACAATTTACGGGATTCAACAATTTGAAGATAATAGTCACTAGTTAGAATTTTGTTGTAACTTGTAAGATCTCTCAATTTTTTTCTTGAAAGAACAGCCCAAATCAGATGCTGTGGAACCAGAGAATTGGTAATAAATCTGAGTTCTACTACTTTTAATCAGTGTGACTTAGGGTGACTGACCTCAATTCACACAGGGCCTCAGTTTACACATCTCTAAAATGGAGACAACATTATTATTAGGGTTATTTGAAGAATTGAAAAAAATATGTGGAGTAACTTTCAAAGTCCCTAATACAAAGTGCTCAATAAAGTGTAGTTGCAAAACTAAAAAAGAAAACTCATAGGATATATTTAAAATGTATCTCTATCCCAAACCAAAGTTATATTCCTCTCTAAAGGGTAAATAGAAGTCTTAATTCAGCTTCAAAATGAAACTTGTTTTTACAGCAATTATAACAAGTCCTTGGGTAACTCAAGTACTGAATGTATTGTGTTACGTGAGAACTGGAGACAAACTGAACTTTGAGTCTTGACTCTACCTCCTAAGGGCTGAACACTTTCAGAGAAATTCCTGAGTCTATGTATGTAATCAGTGAAGGGAAGATAATCTCTTTCTCTGTTTGTTTGTTTTTTTTTTTAACTTCAAGACCTAATACAGCATAATTAGCCAATGGACCATAGACCTATCAAAAATCAAGATTAGATTTCTTTAAAGGTCACTATCAACATGTGTACATATGCATATATATCTGTATATAACATTCCCACCATAAATTTAAAAAAATTAAAAGAAACCCAAGTGATTCATGAATCAAAACAAATGTATAATGACAGCTTTGACAGAAACCTATCATTTATTAATTTCTTCTGGTAATCACTAAAGAAAGAAACATATTATCCAGAAAGCTAAAACTATAAACAACTTCATATAGCTGATTAAGGGGAAGAGTATGAATCTAAGAAAATGAGCATAGTGATAGACATACTTTCCTACCAGTACAAATTCAGTCTCTATTTAGATTTCCTAAAACATTATTTATCACACTTTTTCTTACTTTGAGATGTAAAGGTAACACCTTCCTACATTAAAGCTTAACTAAATGCTTTCATTGAATTAATGTTTTACAAGTTTTTTCCTGATTCCTTTACATTTAGTTATTCTAAGTACTAGAGAAGTCTGAAAATTAAACATTTCCTGTTAAATTAGATAAACAGAGAAATGTTCTCACCTTAGCATGCTATAAATTTGAACTCCAAGATCCTAGAGGAAGGCCGGGCACAATGGCTCACACCTGTAATCCTAGCACTCTGGGAGGCCAAGGCGAGAGGATTGCTTGAGTTCAGGGGCTCGAGACCAGCCTGAGTAAGATTGAAACCCATTTCTACTAAACATAGAAAAATTAGCCAGGTGTCCTAGTGTGCACCTACAGTCCCAGCTACTAGGGAGGCTGAGGTAGGAGGATCAATTGGGCCCAGGAGTTTGAGGTTGCAGTGAGTTATGATGATACCACTACACTCTACCCAGGGAAACTGAGCAAGACTCTGTCTTCAGAAAAAAAGATGCTAGAGGAACCTCACTGGGTCCCAGAAAATCAAATAGCCAGGGACAAAGCCCTATAAATATCTTAGGTATATAAATTAACTCAAATAATAGAAATGAAGCAGAAAGGCAAAACTAATAGCTACTTACACTTTTATATTATAATTTGGGTGGTAAACTTATGGTTCTATGATTTCACACATAAATGTTTTAATCTCACAAAACAAATGGAAGGGTTCTTTTATACTTTAATTTTAAAATCAAGCCATTAAGGGTTAAATGGATTTCTACATATGATAAAAAGGAAGGACATTTCTACCTTTTACTATTTTTTTCTGAAAACTTAATTAATCTAATATATTTTTATATCAAAATTTAAAAACTAAGGTGGAAGCAACCCACCTTGAAGTATCCGTCAATAGATGAATGGATAAACAATAAAAATGTAGTATATACATAAAATTGAATGTTATTCAGCCTTAAAAAGGATGGAAATCCTGACACATGCTATAACATGGATGAAACTTGAAGATATTATGCTAATTGAAATAAGCCAGTCACAAAAGGACAAATATTGTATGATTCCACTTATATCAAGGACCTAGAGTAGTAGTCAAATTCATAGAGACAGGAAAAAGAATGGTGGTTGCCAGGGGCTTACAGTATGGGAAGATGGGGAAATATTGTTTAATACAGAGTTTCAGTTAGGGAATATGAAAAAATTCCAAAGATCAATGGTAGTAACAGTTGCGCAACAATGTACATGTACTTAATACTACAGAAATGTACATTAAAAATGGTTCAAATGGTCAACTTTATTTATATATATTTTACTATAGTAAAAAAAAAATAAACATATCCGGACATAATAACAGAATAAATAAGAAAATCCATATAATCTTTTCAACAGATGAAGAAAAGCATCAATAAAATTCCACATTCTCTCCATAAACTAAAAATAGGTAAGCATAACAATGGCCAGATTGCAAAACCAGGCATAATCAAACTATGGCTCTTACAAGCGCTTCTTAACTCTTAATTCTTAATGCCAATTAGATGATGCCAATAGAATGATCTTAAAACACAAATCTGATCATATCACTCTTCTGTCCTTAGCACTCACTGCCTACAAGGATTTTTAAGGCAGGAGAGGGCTACAACAAAGTCCTGTATCCTGCACACAAACCCACCCAGCAGTCGTCTCCCATCTACCATTCCTGTAGCTTGAACCCTTGCTTTGCTGGGCATCATACCACACTTCATCCATACCAAACATGGTTCAGTAGATGTTTCATATCTCTCTGCAACAGTATCAGCAACTTCCACCTTTTTCCAATTCTTCAACTATATACTGAAAACCTCCTCTCTCAAGACCTGAATCAAATATCTCCTCTCTGAAACCTTTCTAAATTGTTCCACACTCAGAGAGTAGGGATAGGCTATTTCCTCTTTTAAGCCTTCAATATTCTCTAAATGAGTATCTATCATAGCTTGTATGATATTAATATTTTAATGTCTCCTAGGATTTTAAATGGTGATTAGCTCACTCTCTTAAATTCATGTTCCTTGAAAAAGTGACTATATTATGATGTCTCTGCATAAAGGCTAGAATACAAAAAACAATAAATGGTTGGTAGTTGAGTAAATAAATACATTAGAATAGGGCTTTGCAAAATCTCTTTTAAGTGGTTCAACAAAAAATGGGTTTTATGGACGATTAAATGTGAGAAATGATGCATTTGATGACTTCTGTTTAGAGATCCACAATGCACATTGAGGTATCAGAGACACTGACAAGTAATACAAACAGAAACCTGTCTTCTTAAATTTATAATACCCTAAGCTTTTAAACTTGGAATCCATTTATAACTCCTATTAACATCCTATAGAACTAGTATTCTGAGTAATATGCTTTCTCAAACACTGTATTAGCAGATAATTTAATTCCAACATGGCCTGGATATCTATAATACCTGTCTCAGAATTAATGAGTATTGGAAAGGTCTGGAGTTTAAATTTTATATGATTCTATTAAATGTAATATATAAAATATTACAACAAAATAGAAATTCTCTTCTATACTTCTCTATTTAGCTGCTGTTGGTACCACCTAGCCACCACCAAATGTAACAAAATCTAGGAGATAAAGGCTAGACTTTCATTCACCAAATAAGCACTGCTCAATTTCTCTGCCAAGTCTCAAACTTAACATGGAAACAAGACCCTGCCTAAGATATCAATGTAAAGAGTATTGGTTGGTTACTTCATAGAAGGAACAGGATCTCTGATACTGAGGTAACCAGAGAACCCTGGGCTACATTTGGGGATTCAGAGCAACTGATCTATAATCCTGTTTGTCAGTACCAGGTAACAGGGACAGGGCTGAGTCATATGGCTGCTTAACTCAATGAGAGAATAAATGTGCTCTTTCTCAACACAGTTTTAGCTATTGTAATCAGGATTTTATTTCTACAGGAAGTCTTCTTTGCCCAATTCATAGGATTTTGTGATTGTAACCAGCCGAAACACTTTGTGGGTAATATAAAATCCTGCCACCTGGGAAGAACTGTTGAATAACTTACATTTACATTTTGGTGGTGGCACACCTGTCTGTCTTTTTAGTCTTTATTTCAGTGAATGAAAGAAATTAAATACAAACTGACTTATGCATAACTAGTAACATTCAAAGAAACTAATAATTTACTTTACCAAAGAACTTAGAATTTCAAATCGCTGACTTTTCATTTCCTAAGAATTCCTTTTCTGATTTGCTGTTTCATACACAAACAATTCGTATATCTTTTACTTAAATGTAAATGAGGCTTTTGAATACTTTGAAATAATTAAGAGAATGAGGGATTTATGCTTGTATGAAGTAAACAAACCTGTTAACCATTTCAGAAAAAATAATGAGCACATAGAAAGAAAACCCATAAAAACCACAGGAAGATTTCTAGCATCTATTTTCTCATCTATAGCAAAAAATATCAAAACCTACCATGTTCAATATTTTCCCTTGTTAAGGGTTTTGGGAGAGTAGTAGGTAAATGTGGAAGATAAGGAACTTACCTAGGCTAGAATTGCCTTTTGCTATAGTAATAGTCCTCTCAAAAGAGTCTTTGGATACATTTTGGAGCATGGCACACTCGGCACCGGAGGCCACAGAGCTCTGTTCGATCAAGTACTCAGAGCCCTGAAAAAAAGAAAAAAACAAGTCACATGAAAAGGAAAACTAGACTTTGGAGTGTGATTTCAACATCATGCATGTTCTCTAATTGGTTGTGCTTTATTCAGCAACAATCTATAACCAAAACAAGTTCATAGGTTGCCTTGTGGAAATCTCAGTGTCAGGAAGTATTCATCTGAAATGAAGAGAATAGCCAGAATGCTCTGACAGATCACTGTCCCCTACATCATTATAATACATAAACCATATCTTTAAGATATTACCTTTCCAGTGGGATCAGGTAGCACAGGAGAGGTAAGTTCTGCACTTGATATAACTTCACTTGGTAACTGAGATTCAGTCCATGTGAGTGTGTTTTCACATTCATATTGTTGTTCAAGAGCATTTGCAGTTGTATTATAATCATTTATGGTAAAGCCAGAAACAGGCACCATGCTCAAGTCTACTGGAGGTAGATTCTCATCCTGTCTTTGCAGGAGATTCTGGGTGTATAGTTCCTCCAAAGACATATGCAGATCAAGTACTGGATCAGAAGACTTTTCAATGACATCCTGATCATGAAAGTATAAAAAAATCAAATATTGTAACCAGAATTACATCAATGTATTTTATAAAACCACTTCCTAATGAATAACTATTTAGTGAAAATAAAACATAACACAATTACTTATTACTCAAAAAGCATTAATATACATATAAACCTTTCACTTAGCAGATTACCCACATATCTTTATTCTCATAAATATTTCCTGCAAATGATACATCTCATGCTCTACTGAGTTATACTCATCTATTATGCTGTACATAATATCATTTTGACACAATATTATGCTCTATCCACAAATAAAATTATTCCTAGTTCAAATTACACAGAGAAGTGAATAACTTATACTTTCAAATCTCACTTAGTTCATTTTCATTAAGTCTGATGTTACTATTTATTACAAGATCATGAGCATAAACAATATGACATTAATTGATCTGGATTCACAAGAGCATCCAAAAGCAAATTATTTTGATAGGCATTTATGTAGAAGGCATTTATGATAGGTATTTATGAAGAAGCTAGAAAGGTTTAAAATTCATATTATTATAGTCAAATTTGCATAAATTATCTGTAAGATATAACAGAAAGAATATTAATATGGATTGTCATAAAATGTAGGTTCTAATCCAGGTTCTGTTATTAAAAATCTGTACGTAACAGAATCTCTCTTGGCTTTATATTAGAGAATTTCTAAAATTCTCTGAAACACTAAAATTTTATAGTTCTATATAAATACATGTATCTCCTTACAACAAATATACCATATCACTTATGTCCTTTGGGCAAGTAGTTAATACATGAACTGTTGCTGTATAAACAAGGGAAAACATTAGTTTTCCCTTCAATACTTTCATTGATACTTTTAAAATACAAACCTAGCAATACATTATCACATGAAGGATTCAGGATAAAAACATATATTGTATACACACACAGAGTACAATATGAAATTCTCCCCTATGGTTTCTATTTCCATTCCCTTCCTTAGTAAAAATGGCTGGCATCAGTTACATGTTTATGTCAGTTTTTTATGTATTGCAGAATATATACATATAAGTATACATGCACACACACATGCAAGCTGATGTACATATATATTTTTAAAACCTAAAAAGAACCATTCAATAAGTAAAATTTTTACTTGATTTTGCAATAATCTTTTTATCTTCATGTGAGAAATTTCCAAATCAGCAAAAAGTCAACTTCATTCTTCTAATGACTATAAATTACGCCTAAGTAAGAAAAACACTGAAATGCAGATTCTGGATCCAGGATAACTGAGTTCAAATCCTGGCTCCACCACTATTTTCTGTTAGAGCTTTGGCAAGTTACTTAAACACTGTGCCTTGGCTCCCTTTCTATTATTTGGGGAAAATAATATGACCTAATATGGGACTGCTGGGCAGACAAAGAGAGTTAATACCTTTAACTTACTAAAAACAGGCTTGACAACAGAAAATGCTGTTAGTTACATTACACATCTTTGTGCACATATGTGAAGATTTATTTGCTATAGACTACTAGAATTGCAATGATGTGTCAAATGATATGCACACTTAAAATCTGGGTATATACTACAATATTGCCTTCCAACTTTCTCTCATAAAACCACAGCAAGAAACCTACAGATAACTACTAATTCTATTTATAGCAAAAACAAAAAGAAAAAAAAAGACAGAGTCTTCACTACTGCATGTACCTAGAAGCAAAGGGCCCTACCTAACCAACATCACAGTCATCTTCAATAAACCACCCCCAAAAAAGTAAATTAAAAAGTGAGAATAGACTTTTTTATCAGATGCACAGAAATCAACATAAACACAAAGGAAACATTAAAAAGTATGCTAATATGATACCCTCAAATGAAAACAATAATTCTCTAGCAATAGATAGTAACCATAAGGAAATCCTCAAAATCCCAAATAAAGAATTCAAAATATTGATTTTAAAGAAGCAAAATATTGATTTTAATGAGATGCAAGAGAAATATGAACACCAATAAAAAACTAAGAAAATCAATTTAGGATATGAATGTGAAATTTACCAAGAAGATAGATATCTTAAAAAAAACAAACAGAAATTTTGGAACTCAAACACTGAAGGAAATACAAAATACATTCAAAACTTCAACAATAGACTAGAAAAAGCAGAATAAATTTTAGAACTTGAAGACTTCCGAAAAAAATCCAGTCAGACAAAAATAAAGAAAAGCAGAATAAAAAGTAATGAACAAAGCCTTAAAGATGTTTGTGATTAGATAAAGTGAATGAACTTAGAAATAATCAGTATTCCCAAGGGTGAAGAGAAATCAAAAGGCTTAGAAAAGCTATTTAACAAAATAATACATGAAAACTTCCTAAGACTAGCAAGAAAGTTAGACATCCAGATACAGGAGGCTCAGTGATTCCCATTCTAATACAATGTAAAAAGGATTTCACTATGGCATGTTATAATCACACTGTCTAAAGTCAAAGTGAAAGAATTCTAAAATCAGCAAAAGAAAAGCATCTAGTCACCTATAAAGGAAATACCAAAAGACTAACCGTGGACCTCTAAGCAAAAACCTTATAAGTCAGAAGACAATGGATGACACAGTCAAAGGGCTGAAAGAGAAAGAAAAAAAAAAAACCTGCTAGGCAAGTATTCTATATCCAGCAAGATTAAACTTCATAAACAAAGGAGAAATAAAGTATTTTCTAGACACAGAAAAGCTGAGGAAATTTGTCATTATCAGACTAGCCCTACAAGAAATGCTCAAAGGAGTCCAAAACAAAAGGGCAATATTCACCATCATGAAAACACATGGAAGTATAAAACTCACTGGTAAAGCAATCACACAAAGGAGGAGGAGAAAGGAATCAAATGGTGCCATTACAGAATTCAATCAAACCACAATGACAAACAAAGAAAAAGAAGGAAACAAAGAATTTATAAAACTAGAAAACAATTAATAATATGACAGACACAAAACCTCAAATATCAATATTAACCTTGAAAGTAAATGGATTGAATACTCCATGTGAGAGGCATGCATTGACAGGATGGATTAAAAAAAATCTAATTAATGATTCAACTATGTGCTGCTTATAAGAAACTCACCTTACCTCAAAAGACACACATAGACTGAAAGTAAAGTGATGTAAAAAGATACTCTAAGCAAACAGAAATCAAAAGTGAGATGGAGTAGTTATATCAAATAAAATAGACTTTAAATCAAAAACAGAAAGTAAAAGACTAAGGTCATTATATAATGATAAGAGAATCGATTCAGCAAGAGGATATAATAATTCTAAATATTCACCCAACACTGGAACACCCAGATGTATAAAATGAATATTACTAGACCTATAGAGAGAGACAGACCACAATACAATAATAGTTAGGGACTTCAACAGCCTACTTATGGCATTAAGACAGATCATCTAGATAGAAAATAAAGAAATATTCAACTTAAATTGAACTTTAGGCCAAACAGACCTAACAGACATTTACAGAATATCCTACCCAACAACTACAGAGTATACATTCTTTTTATCAGCATGTGGAACATTCTCCAAGATAGATGTTAGGCTTCAAAACACATCTCAACAAATTTTGAAACATCAAAATCATATTAAGTATCTCCTCAAAATACAGTAGAATAAAACTGGAATTCAATACCAAGAACTTCAGAAACTATACAAATACATGGAAATTAAGCATGTTCCTGAATGGCTACTGGGAAAACAAAGAAATTACAATGAAAATTTAAACATCTTTTGAAAAAAATGAAAATAGAAAGAGAACATACCAAAACTTGTGAGATACAGTAAAAGCAGTGCTAGGAGTGACATTCATAGCATTAATTACATCAGAAAAGGAGAAGTATATCAATTACCAACTTTAACTATTACCTCAAGGAACTAGATAAGCAAAAACCAAACAAACCCAAAATTAGTAGGTTAAAGGATAAATGAAATGAAAAATTGGTTCTTCCAAAAGGTAAATAAGATTGATAAACTGGTTGCGGTGCTGTCTCCTGCAATATCTCCTTTCTCCTTGGTAGCCCTCAGCGCCCAGACCGGCACTTGTCCCCAGCGAGTCATAACATTGAAGGCTATGTCCCTGTAGCAGGGTGACGGCCTGGTGCGGGGCATCATTCACTTTGAGCAGCAGGAAAGTGGACCAGCTATGGTAAAGGGATACATTACAGGATTGAGTGAAGGCCAGTATGGATTCCATGTCCATCAGTTTGGAGATAATACACGAGGCTGTGCCAGTGCAGGTCCTCACTTTAATCCTCAATCCAAAAAACAGGGTGGGCCAAAGGATCAAGAGAGGCATGTTGCAGATCTGGGCAATGTGACTACTGGCAAAGATGGTGAGGCCATGGTGTCTACTGAAGATTCTATGATCTCAGTCTCAGGAGAACATTCCATCATTGGCTGCACAAGGTGGTCCAGGAAGAAACAGATGAATTGGGCAAAGGTGTAAATGAAGAAAGCTGGGACATGCTGGAAGTCAGTTGGCTTGTGGTGTAATTGGGATAGTCCAATAAACACTCCCAAGGATGTGGTCTGAATCCTAGTAACTCATCTGTTATCCTGCTAGTTGTAGAAATATAACTTGATAAACCTCAAACACTGTAATCTTAAAAGTGTAACTGTGTGACTTTTTAAAAATTGCTTTAAGTACCCGTAATGAGAACTGATTTATGACTGCTTAGAAGATTTGTATAGTTTTATAAACTCATATAAACTATAAAACTCATTATCAATTAAAATGTGTTTCAATGAGGAAAAAAAAAAAGATTGATAAACTGGTAGCCAGAATAACCAGAAAAAGAAGAGAGAAGATCCACATAAATAAAATCAGAAATGAAAAAGGAGGTATCACACCTGATACCTAAGAAATAAAGAAAGGTCATCAGAGAATATTATGAATACCTAAATGCTCACAAACTAGAAAACGTAGAAGAAATAGATACATTCCTGGAAACATACAAACTCCAAAAGTTGAACCACG